TTTGTGGCGAAGCATGATACTAATACTTTACAAGAAAATAGTTACCGATATTTGCGCCTGAGTGATGTCGATGATGAGAAGTTGACTTGAAGGAAAAAGAAAATTTGGTGGACTGCTACTTTTGAAAGACCTCACAAAGAGGAGAGAAAAAAATCATTTTGCTGCACCGAAGCCTTTGAAAATCTGTGCAGAAGGATCGTGATAATGGAATCGATGAACCGGAAAGAGAAATAGATGCAATAACGGTAAAGAACGTCCAGCTAACCTGCGGTTTGCCTTATCTTCGTATCCTGAGAGCAAGAATGAGGAAACGTAGACACAAAATTCTCGGTTTGCAAAAGAAGCACTTCAAGAGAGAACCTGGCGAAACATTTGCTTGAACATCCTATATAGAGAAAAAAAGGTTCAAATCTGAGTACTCAACCTTGCAACGGGTATCTGCCAGCTATCGTATCTTGCTCGCAGAGGATATTTACAAAGCCTGTGTGCCGCGGCAAAATGTGAGGTTTAAGTCGGGGCAACCAACCCCAAAAGAGAAAAAAAGAGAAAAAACTTACCTGTCGACGAGGAAAAGACAAAACAGAAAAAATGCTAAACTCGGCTTATAGCCAAAGCGGTTTTTATCGGGAACCACCCACTAACTACTTACCTTTACTACGCGCGCGGAATCAAACCACAGGGAGCCATGCTCAACCTGGACATCATGAAACAGATCTTCGGGTCCGGACACACAAACCAATCCTCGGGGAGCTCATCTCAACCCGGACACAAATACTTCATCAGGGAGCCTCGCTCGACCTGGACACGTACAACCAAATACCTTAACCTCAGGGAGCCAAGCTCAACCTGGATACGAACAAATTCTCAACTCTTCAACACCGAAAGACAAAAACAAATTGGGTACTAGAGGTAACTTGAAAAGGAACAAAAAACTAATGCTAAAACTAGAACTAGAAAGCTTACTCACCTCCGACCCTATCCGTTGCGCAGGTAAACTCGCTGCTACCAGAAAGCGTGTACAGTGGAAACGTGTGTCCATCTTTATTGTGCGAAGGCAAATCATCAAAAGACAGATTTATTGCATTTGGAACCAGTAGCTATGCAGGATGTGGAGCAGGAGCGAAGTGGGATCGTGGACCATAGCAGCAGCGGATAGGTGGCCATGTCAGGGACGAGGAGCTGGTCATTGAAAGTCCATCGCGCAATGACTTGGAGTTCTCCTTACTGAATTATAGAGTGCACAAGGCACTTCCTACCTACCGTAACCAAAATTAGCCGTGGATGATAATGTCGACTGCAGAAATATGCGAAATTACGTCCAATCATTGCATTTGACGTGGGGAAATGTATTGCTTCATGATTTTGTGGTTTCTCTCTACTTTTTTTGATTCGCGCGCATCATTGCGTTCAATTGCTGTTTATTCTGAATAGAGCAGAAGTGTCGCAAAGCACGATTCTTTGGGATGTGACCGTATTCTACGTCTTCCCCGATGCGAGTCTCGCGAATGCCACAATGAAGATCGCGCTGTCGGGGACAGGGCATCAAATTTTGAGAAAGTTGTTGTAAACGCAATCTTGTCACATTGTTCTTTATTGAGAAAGTTGTTGTAAACGCGATCTTGTCACATTGTTCTTTATTGAATCTTGCACGTGTATCGCATACTTAGTATTCTTTAGACCGGATACCTAACCGACTTTGACCAAAATGACAAATGACGACCAATATTGATGAAACGTATCAGTATGATGATGTGATGATGCGATATGAAGATAAAGGCAGCGTTTGAGGTTTGAAAGCAACGGATTTCGATTCAAGGAAGTAACACAGTCCCGTCTCCAGGGCATTTTAAAGGCACCGTCCACCCAAAGCGAAGTTGATGAGATTTCGGTGGCATACTAGTGTGGGCCCCCACACTAGGCAAGCCCCCAAGTAGCGCCGCAAAATACTCCTTCCGAAGCGAGAAATCCGCTCCGGAAGGGACGTAACCGGAGGTGGTCACTCCGCCCACTTTGCAGGCGCGCTGATATACGCAGGGCGTCATTAGCAAACTAGTCATGGGCAATTGTGCAATCGATTAGGAGTATTGGGAAATGTTTGCCCCAGTCTTGATCCAGGTTCCGCGTATTTAGCACATTCACACAGAAAGCAGTGAAAGCAAGTGTTTTAGCACACAGAAATGCGTGATAGTTTATTGCGATGATCCATTAGTCATGTAGACGGCGTCAACGATTATTTTGACTACAAATAGTTTTTCAATTTGATGTACATTGCAATGAAAAAACTCACGTCGCATGTTCATCTCGTTTTATTGAGCACAAGCGTCACCTATAACGAAAGATAGTGTTCGTATCAAGAAAAACAGCTATGCCGGATGCTGATGATGGCTATAATCGAAAAAACAACTTTGTCGTAGATTTGGTCATGACTGAATAAAAAACGAACGGTTGAGGATACAAGTACACGAAATAACACTAGAAAAACTCCGATTAGTCGCCTACGACGAGGCAGCGTACTACGCTGTGCGTGTAGTCTCTCCAACGATGCGCCTGCAAAGTGGGCGGAGTGACCACCTCCGGTTACGTCCCTTCCGGAGCGGATTTCTCGCTTCGGAAGGAGTATTTTGCGGCGCTACTTGGGGGTTTGCCTAGTGTGGGGGCCCACACTAGTATGCCACCGAAATCTCATCAACCTCGCTTTGGGTGGACGGTGCCTTTAAGTGATACGACAAAGACGCTGGCCTAGCCTATTCTGTTATTATTGGTAACTTCAGAGAACGCCGATACACTGTAAACATTTCTCGATGACACGTATTACGGCGTATTAGAGCGCTTAGGATGCTAACAGTACCGACAATGATTTCCCTATGTGGTATGACAGATGCCACTGCGGAAACATCAAAACGCAGATTTCGTAAGACTCGGTTCCATCTTTTTACAATGCTCAGACTATTTCATCTTCTTATAATATCAAGGATATGCAGAACGAAAAGTAGGAAGGGTTACCAGAACAATAGTCTGCGCAGCTGCGCCTACACAAAGTAGAAGTACAGAATCAAATTTTATAGAGGATTGTCTGCAAACTGCATCGAATATCGTTAAAGCACATTTATATCTAGGAGCCAAGAAGTTGTTGGCAGAGACATCTGAGTATCTCCATTAAAGTTCTATAGCTGAGATCAAATAGGTGACTTCTTACGGTCATTCGTTCATACTTATCATACATTGATGCAAAATGCTCTGTTGTCTTCCACGCTCTTTCATTTCCACAGTTCCATCTATATCCGCTTGGTGAAGGAAAGCAGGGAGTATTTCGTTGTAGATATCGGAGACTTATAGCAGTTTTTTTCTTGTTATATGACTCACATAAAATTAGACCATAGCTGATAACCTCAAATTATTCATCCACTCAACAAGAAAGCATCTGTCGGACTTTGTTCCTGGCTGATTTATATACTACCGTTCCCGACTATAACACACTGTTTCTTTTTCTGAGCTCGATAGCCTGAAAAATGTCTCGACCAATGGACTCGCTACCCTGATGATCCTCATTCGCGAGACTCACGTCGGGGAAGACGTAGAATACGGTCACATCCCAAAGAATCGTGCTTTGCGACACTTCCACTCTATTCAGAATAAACAGCAATTGAACGCAATGATGCGCACGAATCAAAAAAAAATAGAGAGAAACCATAAAACCATGAAGCAATACATTTCCCCACGTCAAATGCAATGATTGGACGTAAGTTCGCATGTTTCTGCAATCGACATTATCGTCCACGGCTAATTTTGGTTACGGTAGGTAGGAAGTGCCTTGTGCACTCTATAATTCAGTGTTCTCCTTATGCGACTTGTTATATATCCTTGCGCTACCAGAGCTCGACATCGCCGACGGCATGGGAATCGCTGCTCTCATAACATGAACGATGGCATCCTATAACATTCCAACACTCTGATATTGCAATGACTTCCTACTACAAAGAACGCTGCTCATACAAAAGAGTGCACTGTCAGCCATTAACCAACAAAGGGACCTTATTTCGTAGACTTTGTGCTACATCTGAACAGCTTGTCAAATAAGTTTATACCCAAAGTTCTGAGTGAATGCGAAGTGTTTGAATTTTCTCACTTGAGAAGGACTTCCTGAAAGATGGGAACAAGAACTCAGTTTTTAATTGTATTCAAAGTATCTATATTGTAAGCGGTAAACATTAGTATTGAAACTACGATTTTTCTCTTTGATATTAAAGCGAAGAAAAGTTGCGACGTCGCACGCCTCGTTCGCGTTGCCGCACTTTGTTGCAACTGCTGTTCGATTTGTCTTCATATCCCCTTAACAAATATAGGCGGCACAGCTCTTCAGAGTCATTCGAAAAGTAGAAGCTTAGCCTTTTGACTTGATAGCCTTGGACTAAAAGAAAACCTCCTGTAAATGTCAAAAAGATTCTTCAAAGCAGCGTGCTGCACGGTGTGCAGCACCGGTCCGAAATGTGTTGAAGAAATTACTATTCTCATGTCTCAGATTAGTATTTACCATATTATGTGTTCGCATAGTACACTTCAAACATATTTCGATAGAATCTGAGGCGAACACTTCTATACTTTCTCATGTTTGAGTTTCTGCTTATTGTATATCATTTGCTACTCAATTACATGTTGATAACTTTTTCTATATAAAGAACACATTTTTGTAATCTTCAATCCTCATTTCTCTGACTGAACATATGAACGCTCTTTTGAGATCGAACAATGTATCTCAAAAGAAACTGGATCGTGAAACTGTATTTCCAGGCGGATCCTCCGGAATGTGATCCCGTCTAAAAACCGAACTCGTTACATTGTCCTCTTTGTCTGTCCTGATACAGGCACGCAATATAGTTGAAATTCAAACAGATTTCCTTATTTTAGAGAAGTCGATTAGAATATGTTTTATTATACATTCCACTCGATAACACCCTTTATGGGCGATTTATACTAGGAAAGGTGATTTATGAAATCATGGTTTAATATCCAGGAGGAGTACGAGGAATAGGGCAGTGCTCGCAAGTGCCAGGCTCTCCAGGTGCTCCGCGGGGTCCCTGGAGTGGGAAGCGGTTTTAGTAAGTAGTAGGAATTTGTTGGTTATTTTTACCTGTGGTCCTTGTGGGCCGGATTGTCCAGGTGGTCCTGGACGTCCAGGCTGACCAGGAGGTCCAGGTGGTCCTTCAATGTTTCCACCATCCATTCCAGCCTCTCCACGCGGTCCTGGCTGTCCTCTTGGTCCTTTTGGACCAGCTGGTCCAGCTGGGCCATTAACCTTAATTGGGAAGATGTCCAAACGTGCTCACTGCTGATTGATAGGTCAATTTTACCTGAACAATTCGTCCTGGAGCTCCCTTAGGTCCAGCCACCCCTTGTCTTCCTGGCATTCCCATCATACCCATTGGGCCTTGCATACCGGGCAGTCCTGGTTTGCCATCGGTACCATTTTCTCCGGCAGGTCCCTTTGGTCCTTGCGGACCTTTAGCACCAGCCATTCCTTGTGGTCCTGGAGGCCCAGGTGGACAGATAATGCATGCATCATTATTGATGGCTGATTCTAGCATGCTACCGTCCTAAAATTTGATTACAGGTTTTTAAATTTCTGATTGATATAAGAAGGGCGCCTGTTGGTTACTTACCTTTCCATTTGTACCGTCATTTCCTCGAGTTCCATCCGCTCCGTCTTCACCGTCGTCTCCAGGAGGTCCAGGTGGGCCGGCTGGACCCTGCTGACAAGGACAGCAAGTAGGACTTGGTTCGCTGTTCACAACTGGTCCATAGCTAGTGACGGCTGGTGGATTTGGTGACGAACCATATTGACGCTTAGCACGAGCGAACTCAGGCCCATCGATGTGATGTATCTCGGCCCACATGTCCCTGGCACGAGTCTGAACGAGATATTTCGAGATGAAGAGATAAAAGTCCTAGTGCGGGCTCTTACCTTACAAAAATCGGTCTCAATAATGAGATGAGACTGGAAATTGGCGACATAACTGTACAGCATCGGTAAAGTGACTACAGCTGCGATCACAGCCACTGTACTGACGACAATCGCAAAGAATGCGACTCGACGGAGTTCCTTTTGCTCCGCCGTCTCCATCTGTAAATCAGAAATGTTGGAGAAAATAACGAATCTTAAATCTCTTTTTCAAGGGCCAGGTATACAGAGAAGGCAGTGACTATCGTGAGGCGGCCTAGGATACGAGAGTACGTTGGACTGAAAGTGCTTTGCGCATTTTTATACCGAATCGACGTCCCGATTTCACTGTCGCTTTTCGAAAACTGCCAAAAACTGGGTAGTGTGTTCGCACGGCCAGCCCACAACACCAGCTACGAATTGGTCACCGTTCGGGCGGGATCTTTTGTCACTCCTGATGGGAAGCCTAATTTGCATTAATAATGGAAACTGAATGGCAAAAAATGTGACCTAGCGAAAGAGGCTTTTCACACCGAAACCTTCATATTGCTTAGAAAGAAAGTCATTGCATCAGCTCAAGAAAAACTCTTGGCGTCCTAAAGTTTTGCGGATGTTGTAAGGTGATAATTACTTTGTTTTAATAGTCTATAAAATCACTATCAATTTATATTTTATAGAAGAAAATTACTCATCGAAAAAAAAAAACGTTGTGTTACATCATGGGCCGTCATCAGCGAATCATCAGCGAAGTGTATCTAAGGTAGTTGCGAGAGGGAACCATAGTTTGAGCTATTCTACGTTTTTATCTTCTTCCATTTTCCAAGACTGAAAATCTCGCACTTTTGAAGTTTGATTTTATCTCTCTACCTTCATGCTTTCGTAGAGACCGTGATAGTGAATTTTTTTCCCAAGTATAGCACCGCATTGTGATGTTTTTTATAGCTTAGTGAGCGTGACAAAAATTGCTAGAAGCAGTGGAGCTTTGCAATTCAATAAATTTCGAGAAATGGGCGTAATGTGTGAAGTGAGTTTACCCTACTGTAGCGGGTAAGAATCTTTTTCTATCTGAACTTCATAGTGATGGTGCATACACTATGAGCGGAAACCAAAAAAATTTTTTTTGCGACCGTCCTATAGCTTGCCGAGTTTCTCACATGCTGGAGGTCGAGTCTATAACAAGGTTTTGATCAGAGGATTTTAAAATCACTCCTTAATTAGCTGAGGCTAAAGAGGGCGTGGGCAGATCGGAATGTGCTACGAAGAGAAAAACTCGGTGAGGAATTCTAAAACTGAAAACTTCCACATGCTCAGACTATGATTTTACTCGGAAGTTTTTTGTTTTCTATATTCGAAGATCAACACATGGCACAAATCGTCGTACATTTCAAGATTTTCAAACGATGTTTAACAGGCAAAAAAGTGGAATTATTAGCAAGAATCTCCTAATAGCTACTTATGATCTTTATTTTTTATTTATTATGTATGATTTGTTCTCATCTCAGTAGATTTTTCGAACAGCAATGTCACTATACTGTATTTGTTGCTTTTTTCATTTTTTATTGTTAGTTCGCATTCGTACTTTAGGAGTAGATCTAGGTAAATGTTTAATTGTTCCAGGCAATGGCGGACGCTTTCCTTGCAGTCTCCTCTGGTTGTTATAGGTCAAGATCATTGTGCTGAAAATGTGAGCGTCTATTTTGACTACATTTAATTTCAACAATTTCTCATCTCCACAGATCCAAATTATAGTGAATTCATATTCACAAATGCTAAAATGAAAAATTGCACCGTTTCAGTGACCCATAGATCTCTCCTACAGCGAAATTCGTGTTAATGCACTCGCGACATTTCGGGCAATGCTAAACTTCGAAAAACTGGTCTGATGTAATTGATCGCCATATCAGCGCGGGTATCATTTATGAGGTATCATTGTTGACCAGAGGTTTATTCGTTCTGAATTTTCGATATTCGTAAACATATATGGCAAAGTATGTCAGAATTACCCTTGACAGATTTTCGCTGGAGGCTAGTCTTGCGCTATTTTTTGTTTGTTTATAATTTGAAAGACTTACCACAGTGGCTTAATCGAATAATTTTTGTGTATTCACGACGATTCATGATCTAGTAATCTGCTTCAAGCAGTGTCAACAGGTTGTGTGACCTAAAGAACTCCGCTTTCTACTTATCTTCCTTGGCGAAGCAATGCTGCAGTAAGAACTTTTCCGAAAACATTCGAATTAACTATTGCCGAACTATACCGCACTCAATTCAAATACTGGCCCAATTTTTGAATCTTCCAAAAGTCGCTTCAGTGCATATTTCTGATCAGAGAAACCATACCTTTCCCTTTTCATAGTAGTTTGACTCTGCGTAAATCCTACATTCTATTTCTCGAAAATGTTTTTTCTTGAGTTGTATCTAAAAAAGTAGCGATGTCTAAAATGTATTCTCAAGTTTACTCAATACTTTCTTTCTAAAAAGGTTATTTGAATGTGATAGGGTTTCAGTATCGTCTCAGTTAGTAGATGCATTTATTTGTCAAACTTTTCAGAAAATCCAGAGACTATCAGTATCTGCTGTACATGTCTGTCCCAAATTTCAAATGCGTATTCGGAATGTAGAATTTTTTGCAAATTATGCTGTTGAACATTCTGTTTCCTTGAATTTGCGCGAAGTAGCCGCGTCAGTCAGCGTATTTTGATTTCGTCCTGTATGGATCAGATCATTGAACTAACTTTTACGGCAGGATTTGCATATCACCGGCTCTAGTCATGAATATACAGACCAACTGATGCTGTATTTGTCGTGTTTTCGTCAAAACAACTTTCGAAAAGTGTGAACCTCACATCATTGCCTTTTCTTCACATATGCTGCTTCTGCATCGCATCGCGGTACTTAGAGGTATCGATGATTTCTTGGCTTTTCTTTCCTGAGAAAATTTCCTACTCATCTCTGGTGTTCATTTTGTGGCAATACATCTCTGTATACTATTCAGATATGTGAGGACTTCCTTTCACTCACGATTTTCAAGAGTCAAAGTTCTTCGAAACAAATTCTATAAAATTTGTAGAGGAGACTGGTGGTATGGAATGCCATATTTTGCTTCCATTAACTATGCCCACCACTGTTTTTTTGTTGTTGAGAAAATGAGATGTTAGAATAACTTCTTTCTTTTGGTTAGCGCACGTCTTGCACTAGAAATTATTGATAGTTTCTAAAAAAATTCAAAGAGTTTTAGTCTATAATTTATACTTTTATAACATGTGGCAAGTGTTCTATTTCATTCCTGCCTTTGGAGATTATTCAAAGCAAAATCGAAATGTCGATTGAAAGTCGAAAATCCTAACTGTTCATTGCTACACATAATTTGCACACAATTTTATCAGCTAAAAAAGTGTGTCCTAAAACCAGTCCTAAAACCATAACCAAAAACGAAATCAAATTCTCTTGGTGCTTTCAGCATTTTTAGCGACAAAAATTGAAAAATCTACAATCTGAGTCTTTCTTGATATCAGCTTGAATTTTGATGTGCCAGTGCTAATATTTCTCTTAGACCACTAGAAAGTTCAAGGTTTCCTTTTTTCGATCATATTTGAGTGAGCGAATGGAAACCAGAGAAAAAATTACGATTTTCAAAAAATTTTGGTCAAAACTTATGGACCAATCTGATAGATTGGCGGAACTTTAGCAAAGACCAAAATTTCGTAGGGACTTTTGTTAAAAATCGTTATCTTAAATCCTTGGTTGAAATTTTCCGCCAGAGAATTTAGGGAACAAATTATAATTTTAAATTTCCAACTTGACTTAAACTTTTCTGCCATTTTTTTCTTGAATCTATCTCATGAAGTTGCTGCTTTTCGGCAAGGTCATAATCAAGTCTAATGTATAGTTAGTTAATCCACGATCAGCAAATATGTCAACAACAATTAGATCAACACAACATTACGATGTAAACAATGCAGGAGCTACTATTTACTTTCCTGAACACTTGATATAAAAATTTTTTTTCTCGTAGTCTGTCCTTTGTACCAGCATTGAGATGCATAAATTTCTTTTCTTTTCATTGTCGAATAACAGATCCTTACCAAAATTATCTCCTTCGTCATATGCATAAGTTTCAGCTACTAAACAGTTCCCTTTCAGCATTATCGAAAATTTTATCAATTTACTGCTCTAAAAAGCTTTATCGGTTACTATGACCGTCACCTACTCATTAGATGTTGCCAATTCATCTTTCTTCTGCCTCTATCGGCTACTTTTTAGGTGGAAGGTAAAGTTTAACACTGCTAGCAACGCCATTCGAATGAAGCAGATTTAATTTTTCACTATTTTGCAGGGATCGATATGGAAATCAATCTGGGCTGAATTATTAGTGTGGCTAATTCTTTATGGATTTCTAAGCGTTTTGTATCGAGTTTTTCTCTCACATGATCAACGCGAGTAGGTTTTAGACTTTGGAATCTCAGAAATAAGATTTTTTGCCATAATGCGTAGCCAGTTTAGTGACATGCAATCGTAGTAGCCCCTCTCTCCCTATCCAGAACAAAATTTTTTTGAATATTGTATAAAGGGAAGAAACTTGCGTACAAACGCTGCTCACAGTTTCCCCTATTTTTCCTGAAAAGTTAGGAGACACCACTGTTATCACCATATCTAACCCCCACACTTAACTCATAAACTTAGAAAAAGTTTGGGGATGGGAGGAAGTTGGGATGAGGCGAATTCATGCAAAGCTCCAAATGGATATCGTTGAAAACATCCACAATTTAGGGTTTTCGAAGATCTCTGTGTATTTTTCGATACATACTCGTCATTTATACCAATTACATTTATGCTTGGTTTCTATGTCTCCGCTGTTTTTACTCGTTGGTGGCAAATATTCGACAATATTGGTTGGATCGACACGTAAGTGAAATTTTATGCGATTCAGTAGCTGTCGTAAGCAGGGCTCGGCACGAGCTGGCACCAGGAAATTTTCAAAACGAAGTCCCCTTTGACTTTCCCAAAATTTTACGAAGTCCCCTTTGACCCTCAACGATATCCCCTCTAAAAACCTGAAAAATTTTCCAAAATCCCCCCAAAAACGAAGCGTCGGCTAAAAAGAAGGTCGCCAATTTTTGACGTGTCTTCGCCCACAAAAACGAAACCCCCTTTGCTTTTTGCCCCAAAAACGATATCCAGCTTGCCCCGTGCCAGCCGGTGCCAGGCCCTGGTCGTAAGCCCAAAAATGGGCGTGGCTAGGGCGGCACGGGCAAAATTTCCAACAAATTTTTATTTGGGTTCTATGTTGAAAAAAGGTGCTGCGAACGAAGAGTGGTAAAGATAAATTTTGATACTTTACTTATTTCAAATTTGAATTTAGACCCTGCCTCTGGATAACTCAGTATATGCTTGGCCACACTGAGCGAGCTCGAATGCTTCGACGAACACTAATCCGTTATCTTGTTCTTACCCAAGCGATGGTATTTCGAGACACAGCCAAAGGTGTTAGGAAACGATTTCCTACTATGAACCATTTGGTGACAGCCGGTAGGCTACAGACAATCATGGCGAAGTAAACAACATTCTCGGTATTTCCAGGCTTGATGACTGAAAAAGAACTAGAAAAATTCAACTCTGTTAAAACAAAATATGCGAAATACTGGGTACCGATGCACTGGGCTTTTAGTTTGATTCGCATCGCTAAAGAAGAGGGTAAAATCCCAGGCGAAGTTGTTTACGTTGATTTAATGGAGGTTGAGTCAATTTTCTTACAATGTTATTATCATTCAATTTTTCAATTTCCAGAAAATTCGTCAATATCGTGTGCAGATTCTCAGTCTCACGCTATTTGATTGGGTACCGGTACCTCTTGTATATACTCAGGTAAGTATGAAGGATAAATCTTTTGGTAGTTGCACATACTTTGTTTATGTATTCTGTCAAGCTGGTTTCTGATTCTTGCGCTGGAAATGCGCTTTCTGAAGATGTCTTTTACTTGAATTGCATTTTTTTAACGTACGACAACTGTTACATTTTCCTACGCTTATCAGGGATTCTCGAGTAACAAAATTGGAATGTTGGTTGAAAACTTGAAAAATAACTATCTGTGATCAGATCATTTAGCATGAACTTCTCATTCAAAAAAAAGCGAGTCGTATCACAATCAAAAGTGAATTTGAATCTTGCTGGTCCTATTAGCATTTTAGCAACCAAAATTTGAAGAAAATTTGGTTTGACTTTTTCTACCAGCTTGTATCTCCATGACGCCAACATTCTTGTTTCGAAATAATTTAGAGCAATGAAAATGCATGATTTTTTCAAAGCTGTGGCCTAGAGCTTCCACTGAAACTAAAAAATCACAGTTTCAAAAAATTGGTGCGACACTTATGGACCAAACTAATGCGCTAGTAGTATGCGAAGTCTAGATCGACTAAAAAATGGTACTGAAAGCAAAAAAGTTGATGTATAGTGAAAAGTGATGTATTCAGCGCATTGTTCAAGCAAATCTTCGTCTGTGTTTTTTTTTGAATGAACGAAAAATGCATGATTACAGGTAGTTCATCTCGCTGTTCGTATGTATTTTGCTGTTGCGCTGTTTGGAAGACAGTATTTGAATCCACACCCAGATAGGAATCTGAATATCGATTCGGCAAAAACGGTGAGTTTTAAAAATTGCGCGTTTTCTTTGTGGTTTAATTGGATGGTATAAGGTCAAACTAGAAATTAATGTGAATTAGATGGCTTTTTAGTATTGCATTGATAAACAGAAAGTGAAAGCGCGGCCCTTTTGCATCGTAATGTGTTGTAAAATAATCAGCGCGAGTTTTGTTAGCGGAGCGATGTCGCGAAAATGCTGTCATCCTACCGTATGAGTTCCATTTCAAGACTTTGTAATCTTTTCTGCTACAAACTTTTTTTTGGAGTCGAATTAAAAAAAAAGTTTATTTACAGATCGATCTTTATGTGCCTATTATGTCCATACTGCAATTTATCTTCTTTGTTGGTTGGATGAAGGTAGGCTGAGTCCGTAATACTATTTATCTAAAGCTGGTAATTATTGCCAGGTAGCTGAAGTGTTGTTGAATCCGCTTGGGGAAGATGATGATGACTTTGAGTGCAATTTTATTTTAGACAGGAATCTCGAGGTTAGTTGTTTAAGTACAGACTTTGAAGATGTATCGTCAATATTAAAATTATAGGTGGGCCTGAACTGCGTCGACACAGAATTCGACACTTATCCCGAAGTATCTCGGGATCAGTTCTGGGAAGACGATTTACCAGAGCCGCTCTATACAGCGGAAAGTGCGCTACGTCCGCTAAATCCCCAAGTGGGAAGTTGCGTGGACATGTGGGTGATTTTTTTTCTTGGATGTTTTCGTTTGGATAAAGAGAATGACACATTACAGGGCCACAGAAGAAGATTCATATATGCTAAGACCGCGACGTCGCACTATTTCACGCAGTTCATGTTGGGATGGTGAAGTCGATGCCGATGAGATCGTACACGTCAATGGTCTTGATAGTAATAACAAGGAAAATGCGTAAGTTTGCGCAAGGTATACAGTCTGTCCCACTTGCGTGTCCCTTCGCGCTGACGCTGTGCATCCGCAATGCGAAAGACGCGCGCTGACCTTTGAACTATGAGGCTGATGACGGCACATACCAAACGCTCGCGACCAGCGCGCGAAGCAGTTGCGAGGCGGATGTGCCGGTTGAACAGGGTCATTAAGATTGAGACAGATTATACATAAGTCCGTGCCTCTGTAAATTTTTGTTTTTTGTTTAGTGGCATGTCATCCATGGAGCCGACGTTTTCCCAATCGTTCCTAAGCCAAAGTAAAAAGATTAGTGAAATGCTAAAACGAATGCATGGAGGAGGAAGAAGAACGAGTAAGTGATGAGGTTTTGATGGAAATCTTACTGAAATTTATTATTAGGCTTGAATTTCAATGGATCTCGGCCAGTTAAAAAAATCAGTCGCGGCGACATTAATCATCCTCATATTCCGGATAATAAATCGAAGTAAGTGATAATGGAATAAGCGTTGAATGGTTTCATTAAACAAACAAAAAGTTGAATTTTTATTGAAATTTCGAAACAGTACTGTACAAATAATGTACAAATAATCTAGAAAAATTCATATTTCTGTTAATTCGGACTTATATAGACAGAGTATCGGCCTTTATGAAGAAAAGCGAGAAAGAAACCAATTTTTCCGGAGGGCCTGGGGGGGATGGAGGAGGGGGTAAGAGAAATGAAGAGAAATGGGAAGGGTTCAAGAAGTTCGACCGCTTTTCGCCTTTGGATACAGAAAGTATTTTTGCGTATGCCGACGACATGAATAATCTCAGGCTGCGCCCTATGGCCAAATTCTGCATGTTAGTTAATGCAAGTTGTCCGTATTGACAAGCATGGCATTTGTTTAAGCGCAAATGTTGTCGTCACTGCAGAAGTACTGCAAGCCGTCAATTTACTGAATGCTTCTCAAAATTTTCGCGGGCTCATAACCCCCAAATCTCAGAAAAAGGGGGCACCGAAAATATTATTTTTTGTAAAGCTAAAGTGAATTTTTTAGAATTTTCAAAAATTGTTCTAATTTTTTACAAGTTTAAACAAGTCACTCGCACAATCTTAGACTTTATTAGGTGTAATTCTTGATTTTAGCTCTAGTAGCGTATCATCGTTGGAAGAATATGGCCAAAGTTTCCATAATAACGTCTCTCCACCTAATTTGCAACCATCGGGTATTCTTGGCAACAGCAGGTCTGTACCGAACGGTCTGAAAATAGATCTTGATAGTTCTGATGGACCAAAATCAGTAAGTTGTTGTCTTTGATGTTAGACTAAGTATGAGAATGCTTAGTTTAGCCTGTTTCACCAGCAAATAATGTATGCTGGTTTGTGGACGAGTTACCTGTGATCGAGGAAGAAGACCAGGACAAGCGTCGTGTCTCTGATGAGTGTAAGTTACAAAATTCACAATCTTTTCCTCTACTTTCTATTAATTTTTCAGGTTCAGTCAAGAGCAGTAGCGGAAGCTCAAAAACAACCAATGAGCGTTTGGACCCTGCACTGCTCGAGCATTCTTCGATAGTTTCAAAGAAAGGAGAAAGTAAACAAAAGTCAAGGAAACCCAGCGAGAAGGACGATAATCGAGGAGGAGACCATAAGAATTTCAAAAATGAGTAAAAAAAACAAAGGTGTAATCTTACGTGATTGGCAAAGACACAAATGCAGTTTGCTATATCGCTCAGTCATAGTGTTTAAACTGTTATTTATATGTAAAATTGCATTTGTGATCAAGTCCTAACGTTGCACAAATTTGGAAGCTGATTCTTACGTCGAACTTTCTAGTATTGCACGTAATTAATCGCCTGTTCGTAACAATAGTCGAATTGTGACCGAAGTTTATACTTCTCCGTACTTCTTCTACCGCCTCCTCAACCCGCCAAAACGCGTCACATCAGCCGCAATCAATAATCCTCAGTAGGCAACACTCAACGCTCCTGCGACACTTGTCCAATTCCATTGCATCCTTTAGTCAATGATAATTGATTAGAATTTGATTAGGCCGAAAATTTCTAGAACCTAGCAAGGACGCAAAATCTAACCAGTCACCACAGAATTTTGCTTGCGGGCTGCAACGCGTTTTGGTCGGGATCACATAGCTGACCGGATCCATACTATCTGGTTACAGAAGGGTATGAATGTATTATATAAAAATGCAACAGAATGTATGGATTTATAGTAAGCATAACATAAGTGCTTTTAGTTTTAACATGCATGATTCAATAACAGACAACTTGTAATCACTGAATTGTTGAACATATCAACATCCACATGTCCTTACCATCAGAAAGTGATGACTGCCCTCATATTATAATCAATTAGTTAACGCTGGTTTCGATGTTGTCATTGCTTTACGTTTTGAAAATAAATACGTACTACCTAGTACATCATTTTGTTGAAGTGTTCCACCTTAATATTGGTGTAATATTCCGTTTACCTAACACATTTACTCAGATAATCGCCGGGGGCAAGCGGCCATGCGAATTTTGAGCAAGCGGGCACCGGAAAAATAGTTCGCTGATTTTTTGTGGTTCGCTTGCAGAAATTTGGAATAATTCTGGCCAATTTTTAGACGAACGCTCGAAGATCTATCGCGGTTTTTCTATACATAGGTTGCGGCACAGTGGCCGCATTCTCGCGGATTTTCCGCGAGAACATGCAAAATTATTGAGAGCCGCACGGTCCTTTTTGAAGGACCGCGCAACCCTCAGGTACTTTCCGCTGAAAGAAAGTACCCCAAACTTGGGTAATAAAACCATCGATGGCACCTCTGCCACATAGAGTCTCATCTTTTCTCGGCGTACGCCCGAAACTGCGTAAAAAGAGTCTGAGCGCCTGCTGAAAGTTTGGCCAGCGCTCGCTGAAAGAGATTGTTCGACGAGCGCTTGCAGAAAATTTTGTATTGATGCCCGCTTGCAGAAAACGCAAATACCGCCCGCTGAAGATTTGGCCATGCCTCGAAATCCTGCTGACCGCCTGCAGAAAAGCGCGAGTTTGCGGACCGCCTGCCCCCGGCGATTATCTGAGTAGGAGCACTTGACACACATACTCAGATAATCGCCGGGGGCAAGCGGCCATGCGAATTTTGAGCAAGCGGGCACCGGAAAAATAGTTCGCTGATTTTTTGTGGTTCGCTTGCAGAAATTTGGAATAATTCTGGCCAATTTTTAGACGAACGCTCGAAGATCTATCGCGGTTTTTCTATACATAGGTTGCGGCACAGTGGCCGCATTCTCGCGGATTTTCCGCGAGAACATGCAAAATTATTGAGAGCCGCACGGTCCTTTTTGAAGGACCGCGCAACCCTCAGGTACTTTCCGCTGAAAGAAAGTACCCCAAACTTGGGTAATAAAACCATCGATGGCACCTCTGCCACATAGAGTCTCATCTTTTCTCGGCGTACGCCCGAAACTGCGTAAAAAGAGTCTGAGCGCCTGCTGAAAGTTTGGCCAGCGCTCGCTGAAAGAGATTGTTCGACGAGCGCTTGCAGAAAATTTTGTATTGATGCCCGCTTGCAGAAAACGCAAATACCGCCCGCTGAAGATTTGGCCATGCCTCGAAATCCTGCTGACCGCCTGCAGAAAAGCGCGAGTTTGCGGACCGCCTGCCCCCGGCGATTATCTGAGTAGTGGTCCAGATAATCGCGGGGGGCAGGCGGTCCGCAAACTCGCGCTTTTCAGCAAGCAGTCAGCAAAATTTTGGGGCGTGGCCAAACTTTCAGCGAGCGGTACTTCCTTTGTCTGCCAGCGGGCAGCAATACGACATTTTCCGCAAGCGCTCGTCAAACAATTTATTTCAGCGAGCGCGGGCCAAATTTTCAGCAGGCGCTCGGACTCTTTACGCAGTTTCGGGCATACGCTGAGCGAAGGTAACACTCTACGTCAAAGGTGTCATCGATGGTTTAATTACCTAAAACTGCATTTTTGCCTTCACATGATGTGCGACGAATGTGGGTCAATTACTACATGGATATGAGAAAAATAAGTTATCAGCGATGATATCAATTTATCGTATTTCGCTGCAAAGAAAATTCGGACTTTTCTGTGCACTTCGAGAAAACGACCGTAAGAAACACTGTGTAAGTTTTCTATTCGCAAATTATATGTATTAGATGCGACTTCGATTGGTCAATCGCGACAGCGACCGTTAATTCGCGGCAATCGTTGTTGGTGAATGGCGACTGCGACGGTTGAATCGCGGCAGTCGTTGAATCGCTCTGAGAGACAGCACGGTTTTTATTTCACGTTTAAAATACTATCGTTCAGTTCTTATTTGGGCCTTCCAGCCTATGAATTCGCTGAGAATCAGAATTTTGAGTTTGTGCCTTTTCCACAAAAATCACCGAAAGTTGGCTGTCAGCTGTAAACTCTGCCCACTTCGGGCTAAGCTGAGACAGCAAGATTTCCATTCTAGGGGTCTGAAATACTATCGTTCAGTCCTTGATTGGGCCTTCCAGCCTATGATTTCGCTGAGATTCAGAATTTCAAAGTTGTGCTTTTTTTAAATACCTCAAATTTCGCATGGCGCTTTCCAAGCTACTTTTCTTATGGTAACCCAAGAATAATTCGATTTCTTGATGTTGTCAGCGATAAGCGGTGAATTGGTCTTATCACTGACAAGGATGAACAAAATTTTCTCAAGTTCACCATATGGCTTCCTTCGACCGTTTGTCATGTACTTGCAAAATATCAGACTCTAAGCTTTATTCTGAAGCGAATTACAAGCAATTTGATTTCAGGTAATGCAAGCGGTATATACCCTCCAAGCGAGTACCCGCCAAGCGGGTATATACCCGCTTTTTCTTTCCCTAGTTTGGGGTACTTTCTTTCTGCGGAAGGTAAATGCGGGCTGTGCGGTCCTTCACAAAGGACTGTGCGGTCCACACTAATTTTGCATCTTCGCGGAATGTCCGCGAGGATGCGACCACTGCGCCGCAACTAATCTATGAAAAAGTAGCTATTGTTCTCCGAGTATTCGTCCAAAATTTCGCCAAAATTCTTTCAAATATCCGCAAGCGGGCTGCAAGAAATTAGCGAACTATTTTCCCGGCTCCCGCCCGCTCATAAATCGCATGGCTGCCTGCCTCCGGCGATTATCTGAGTAGGACCGTTGACACACACAGTGTCAAGGTTTGAATTTAGGAAATAACGACTTTCCTGGATTGATCCGTAGCAGGTCTTAGTCCCAAAAGACAGGCATTTCAAAATCTGCATGTCGTCAATATGTTAAATGGATGTAAGTGAACAAATATATGTACATATATGAATTACGTTAAGCAGCGAGGTCACCAATGTATCATTTCAATAATCACCTTCAAGTCAAAAGTCTATTCAGTGAAATATGTGTTTACATACCACATTACAATGTCATTACAAAAACATAAAATAACGATCACAGATAAGTCCATCACGACCACTCCTTCAGCAGATGACAAAACGTCTACGAATTTTTTGACTCAGTAGTCGCAATCCGGCAAAGTCAGACGGTCATGTAGTGTCACTGAAGCTAGTCGGTTTTAGGCTCCAGTTTCAGCGGCAAATCTGACAGGCTATATAGGCTGTACTATTGAAGACCAATCGCAGAAATCCACGAGTTCAGGCTGACGATGGAACACGAACGCGGAAGTTGAGACTGTAGTCAGACTTATGATCGAAGTTCATCCTGTGCTTACCTTTTTCTTCTTCAGGTTATGTTTGTTCTCGCTTGTCTCAAAAGAACAGATCACTTTCGTGGAGGTTATGCATGGACCTATACGAGCAGAAGTACTTGAGCTTTCGTTTGTTCAAGCTTAGAAGTTGATTATCACCCAATATGGGAACAGGAAAGTTCGGAAATGCTTCGGATTAGTGTAATTGTATCATTGATACTTTTAATTCTCTTGGACATAGAGGAAAACGTGTACTAGATTGTCGAATACTGTGTGCAGTGCGTTCGAGCCTCTAAACTAATAAACGACATGATGAAGTACTTAACCGCAGTCCACATCTCAAATGACCTGTTACAGCTGGAAAAAGTAGATAAGGGATAGATAAGGGGTGCTGCTACTGATATTCATGGGAAACAGTTCCAACTTCATGAATGAAGGTTTGCGAGTTACGTAAACAAAGTTTTGTAAAGATAAACAAGAAACAATCAATACGAAGCATAAGTCGTCTAGCCACTGATCTGACAACCAGACGCTTTCGCACGCGAGGCCTCATTCGTAGGTTTCCATAATCGATGGTGGGTGATACAGCCTATATACAGGGTGTTCCCAAAATGTGGCTACTGTTTGATTGTTAATAATTCTGTCCTAATGAAGTCTTTCGAGAAGCTTCAAAAACCATTTTGTAGAGCTGGATTTAACTTACAAGGGATGGATACTCGTTCGCAGTGACAACTGGATAATTGGTGTATACCGCGTATACCGTCCCCAGACGGTGATCCCTAAACCGCACTTCATATCTGCTTGACTTCATTCTGGAAGAGCTATGAAGGATTTCGCAAAAACGCAAAAGGCGACATCCGAGGGAATCGAACCCACGAGCTCAGCAGTCAAGCCGCTATCCACTGCACCAGTCGACCACGCAAGCGATGAGGCAAGTCTAGGTGCTTGAGTGCGCCTGCAGCACCAAAAATCCTTTATAACTCTTACAGAATGACTTCATAGCAGGTATGGAATGCGGTTTAGAGATCACCGTCTAGAGACGGTGTATGCGGTCTACACCGCTTACCCAATTGTCGCTGCGAGCGAGTATCCTTCCCTTGTTAGATTTACTTTGTGAAGCGCTGTATTATTACGGTAGAAACTTTGGAGAGGTTTTCGAGCCATGAAAGGCCATATTTTGCCTCAGAAAGAAAACAAAACAATTTAAAAACTCTCGCACTGGACTAATTGCAATTGTTGAATCTAAATGTGAAGTTCGTAACTTATCATAATGCTTTGTTAAAAAGTAATGCGAGGTAAGCAGTAGCTGCAGTTTTTTCACTGTTCCTAAAAAGTGCGGTTACACCATTTACAAAGCTTCGCAATCTTGTACATAGTTGGCATTGAACTCAGCGTCCATGAAAATCCTACTACAGAAAATTTCAGTTTTTTTGGAAATTTTTTTCCAAACGGCCTTTTTCACAGTGGCGCCATATGCTGCAAGTTCCCACCATACTCTTACAGTAATTGAGATAGAATCCTAAATCGCTCTATACTACGTATCTAGGTTGAAGCCAGCTCTACGAAATGGTATCTAAAGCTTCTCTAAAGACCAAGACAAGAGAGTTATTAACAATAAAACAGCAGGCACATTTTTAGGCACCCTGTATATTTAGTAATTAAAATAATATAAGGAAAAGACATTATGGCAAAGGTTCCTTCGAAGCTGTCTCAAACATACTTTCTGAAAAGGAGAGGCTAAAATCAGGCCAAACTTTGTTTTTGTGCTGGTAATGATAATGTCTAGTCATGCAAAAGCCCGTGGTAGATTTCATTCTTAGTACATTATGGGGCTTTGGCAGTTGCTATTTTTCGTATTCTGTGGTGAGCACTTACCAATAACGCTGAGAACTTTCAAAAGTGCTTAAAACATTTATCTCATCTACAAAAGAAGGTCCAGCAGTCAAGGTGGTCATCAAGCTAAAATAATTCGAGTGCAAACTCTTATTCCTTAGCTGCGAAGGGTTTCTACTGAGCTACGTGTTGGAAACATTGCTTGTTGCGAAAGGTCTCGGAACAGCTTCACGCTTGAAGTACTTAGAGGCAGCTTCCACCCAAAATTTCGCCTTCCATGTTTTCAATGTATGGCGCTGAATTCTGATACGAGGTTCACATCACCAGAAAGCCAAAATCGCCCTTTTCGAAGCCCTATCCCGGCAAAGTGGACGAGTGCCCCTGCGCTAGTCTCATATGCTCCAGGAAACCTCTTCGTGTGCAACAGTACCACATAACAAACTATGCGTCTGAACGTTGCTTGTCATGTCAGACGTCAGGGGGCAATCCATGGATGGATGGAGCGCAAAGAGGATAGGGGCCGTTATTCTCTTCGGTAGGCAACATTAGGTGACGGACCAACGTGGTTGGTCTACTTTTAGGGCCCAAGCGCATACCTTCCCTCCCCCCCCCCCCTCCATCGCCCATATGCACCATGATTTTTGTGCAATTTGCAGAAACGTAATATACAGTGCGTTTCATAACTATACGACACCCCCCAAAATTGGGATTTCCGAATTTACAGAAGAGATCGAGTACTCCATTCAGTGCCTGTGTGATCCACATATGGTATTGAATAAAATGACATCTCAATCAATTTGTCTACTTGCTTGCTTTTCTACATGTAGAGACATGTCCATATTTCCACTGTTTCATAACTATACGACACCTCTAAGCAAAGCACTTTTTCCAAGTAAAATACGCAAAACGTGGTTCTCATAACTAATCGGACTACCGGGCTCTTTTACCACTTTATCAAGTCTCTTCGACATGCTTCTAACAAATTCAAGCATGCCTTCGGTTCAGTGTTGTCGAATGCGTCCATAACAAACTGCTCCAACTTTTCCATTGCCTCACAATGCTTCTATCTGCTCAGAAACGCTGTACCAGTAATCTCTAAAGATTTTCTAAAGGATTTGAGACAAGACAGTACGGTCACCTTTACAAAAGCTGCTAGCGATGCTGGCTGAGAACGGCGGTAAGTGACCCGCGTACATGTTCGCACGCGTTATGCGGCTGCGGAACGTAGTGCTGTTACAGGCGCTTTGTTAAGAAGAAAACGGAAAGAATGAGCCAATGATTTGGTGGTGTAATCTAATCAAAAAATTTAGTTTGGACGGCTAAAGGACCGACTGGCCGGATGTAAGCAAAAGTCCACATCATCTTAGCAAGAGAAACTTTAGCGGAGGTTCCTCTATAATCCGGGAGCATTTTGTATGACTCAAAAGCCTAATTTTCGAGGAGAAAATTTGCGCGCAGGTTGCCAAGAAATACTGGAAAACCAACGACTGTTCCTTTTTCACAAGCGCCGGTAACAGCACTACGTTTTGACGCAGCACAACGCATTGAACATGCACGGGGTCACTTACCGCCGTTCTCAGCCAGCATCGCTAGCAGCTTTTGGAAGAGTAACCATACTGTCTTATCACAAATCCTTTAGAAAATCTTTGGAGATTACTGGTACAGCGTTTCTGAGCAGATAGAAGCAGTGTGAGGCAATGGAAAAGTTGGAGCAGTTTGTTATGGACGCATTCGACGACACTGAACCGAAGGCATGCTTGAATTTGTTAGAAGCATGTCGAAGAGACTTGATAAAGTGGTAAAAGAGCCCGGTAGTCCGATTAGTTATGAGAACCACGATTTGCGAATTCTTTTCCTTGGAAAAAGTGCTTTGCTTAGAGGTGTCGTATAGTTATGAAACAGTGGAAATATGGACATGTCTCTACATGTAGAGAAGCAAGCGAGTAGACATATTGATTGAGATGTCATTTTATCCAATACCATATGTGGATCACACAGGCACTGAATGGAGTACTCAATCTCTTCTAAAAACCCAGAAATCCCACATTTTGGGGGGTGCCGTATAGTTATGAAACGCACTGTATTTTTACTTTCCTATAGCATTCTTAGCATTGTCTGTCTTAGTCAAGCCCGGCGGCGACAAAGCGTTGCTTGACGCACTCACCCAAACATATGGAAAGACTACAATCTATGTGGAGGTTATAAAGTCGAACTTTGTATAAAGGCTCGTGGTTCTGTATACGCGTGTCCTATCAGCAAATAAAGCTTCGTCCAAGCCCTTTGGAAACTCAAACATCCATGGATGGATGTTTGGGTTTCCAAAGGACTTGGACGAAGATTGGAAATCTATCGCCCATATGCACCATATTATTAGCTTTCTGTGGAAACATGCACTAAAGAAGTGAGAGAATTTTTTCTTTTTAGTAAAATATAAAACACTGGTGTCTACCGCACTTAACGAAGAAGTGAGTGAAGGCTTACACTATTACAGTCATTTCCACAAAGTTGTTCAGAAAGTGAATGACGATGACCCGTTTGCCATCAACGCACCTATTCCCATGAGGGAAGAAGACTCGGTAATCAAACTTCTCCCTCTGGCTGTAGAATTACGCATATCCTGCGTTTAATACGTTTGTTTAGGAAACAGAAGGTGTCGGAGAAAAAACAGCTGTGATGCATGATATGCAGGTAAGCATCCTGGCATAAAAGAAAGTTGAACATGATTTTTTAGGCATTTCCTAATATCTGGAGAGTCCGCTACCTTAGAAAAAATGATGACGAAGTAGAACATGTGGTATATGACGTTTGATAGTTCTACAGTCTGTCTCATCTGGACTGGCGAATATTAGGGTGACGCGCGTCTTTATCGCTACTGTGCGAATAAATGCGACGGCGCTGTATCACATCGTGACGGCCCCCTGTCTGCTTCTCTCCAAACTGTTCGATTTTTGGCTGGCAAAATGCTAACGCTGTACGCATGCCTAAAGGCTACTGCATGACGAAGGCGCAGGAGCATGTTAGTCGAGCGGGCGCGACGCAACGCGCGCGTATCTTCACCTTTGCAAATCCTGCGCTCATGCGCTCTGTGGATAATAGATCCGCGTTTGCGCCAAAGATATTGTGCCTTCGTCATCAGCAGCCTATACACAGGAGTGAGACAGGCTGAATGCTTATCTCCATAAGATCACCTATGAAAGTTACTGAGAGGTACATTGAAGCTTGTGAGCTGGAACACCACCCGAGCTAGAGCAGAGGAAGACTGTATGAGTCAAGAAATGGAATTGGGGTCGTTTAGCGATGACGCGGAACTCAACTATGTGATACGTCAGTTTTTTTCTGTAACCCCGTATTTGTATAGGTATCAAAAAACACACGGTATCATAATTAGAAAGACGGGTTGAGTGAGCTCAGACGTCAGCTGAAAATTTTCTTGGGGCGACAACTTTTTAAAAGCCCGCGCAAATGTGCGAAACGTCCACTCAGACAATCGCAAAATACTTCCGGGGAAAGCTGAAGTTCCAAAACTTCCGGGAGGACAACAACTTCAACTTCCTGTTGAAGCTGCCAGGTAGGGCGCGGCCAGGTAGGGCGGGGCCCACCCATACGGCCCAATAGGAGCGTCCGCTTAAGTTAAAAGTTCAGTTTTCCCCGGAGGCATTTTGCGGCTGTCTGAGCACGGAATTTTTAATTCGACTTAGTTCTATTATGTCTTCATTTTTCATGTAATATCGGCTTCCCTGTTTCTTTTGTCAAGAATTATCAGCTGCAATGTTTCAGAGTCATTTGAAAACTTATGCTACTACTGTGGTACCAGTGCTTGGATAAACGGAACGAAGTCGGTAGTTTCAAAAAAAAACTGGCCTGCCCTGTGTGATTGTTATTTCTTGCAGGTGCCAAGCCATTTCTCTGCATACTATCAATGGGAAAAGCAGCTGTGATAAAGTGGAGAAGAAGAAAGGAAAAAAGGTAAAAGAATGAAGAGGACTTACCTGATGACCACCAGCGCTCTCAATGCGAAACTCCACCCTCTTTTTCGGGGGTGGAGGAACACATACCTTCGTAAAGCGCCGCCTCCGCCGACTACAGGACCTTTTATGGCATACAATAACGCATCAGAAAGGACCACTGGTCCGTGGAGGAGAGGGTAGTCGTTAACCGACCTTTTTATTTTTCCTTATTAGAATGCCCCAACTGCTTTGCGGGTCCTGTTTAGGGGATTTTTGTTGCACTCGGGTTGGCAACTTTTCCAATCCGTTTTATAACTATTTTCTAAGCGCAAATGTCAATATGCAGTAACACTATTCTAACCATTAATTCTAGTCTCAGCAATTTTTGCGAACACTTTTCTTCGAGAAAAAAATTATGTTATAGGGTACTGCACAAATCGGATCATTTATTTGTACAAGAAAAATTGATGGAAAGAATAGACATATCAGTGTAAGAGTACAAAAACATGACGCTATCGAAGGGGCTACAACATATCATGTGAGTGCTTTTGGAATGTAGTTCAGAACAGGAAAGTCAGAATTTCATTTTTTTTGTGTTATTTACAGTTTCTGGCAAAACCTACAACACGAAAATATGCTTTTGATTATTGTGCAAAAAAGAACTATATGCTAGAGAATATTCAGGACACTGAAATGAAAGCAATCATAAGTGAGTGAAACTGTATCAACTTATCTCATAATATCTTTAGTTCCTTAATTTTCGAGAAGAAAGTTTGCGTAGGGAGTCCTAATCAGTAGAAATGTCAAAATTTGAATGTCCTTCATCTTGTGCGTCGGATGATTTTCCGCATGTTGTATCTTTTCCAGAAAAATTTCGAGAGAAATGTTCTGCGTGTAGCGGCTTGTATTGGATAGGAGGTCATAATAGGGGATTGTATGCTGCAAAGTAAGTACGTTTTAGTCGGTCCTTTTTTACCTTTTTCAATAAATGGGCCAATCTGATTTCTCTTCAAATTGTAATTATCCCATTATACTGTATTTTCCAGTAGAGAGCGAAAATCTCGCGATCCAAACTCGGTCCGAGGGGGTAGAAAGCAGTAAGTTTTCGTTTGTAATTCTGAACAGATCAACTTATCTCATAATATTATATCTTTAGCTCCCAAAGAAGTTGTCGAGTGCTCTCAATTGAACTAGGAAAAATTACGAGTTTGCCGTGTGATCAACAGCCTAGCCTTCACAGTGTAAGTAATGTTTCGTAAAAGAATTTGCGTTACCGCATATTCGCTTAAATTTGCGGTTTAATCTGACTTACAATGCAGCATACCTCAACTCAGAAGAAAATTGCCGAGGATAAAGGGCCGGGCATACTTGACGCGATTTCAGTCGCGACGCGATTTGGCATTTTGCCCAAAGTCTTCAGATTCAACACTAGCAAACTGCACATGCATAGTAGGTATAACTTACGTGGATTGCGAAATGCCTTATTTTTTGTACATCTAAAATGTGCTTACAGTGAGTTATGGACAGTTGAAATATTGCCAAATCGCGTCGGACTGAAGTCGCATGAAGTATGCCCGGCCCTTGAGTGCCCCAGAAAAATTGGCTACTGATAACTCTTATTAATCATCCTTTATTCCTGAAACTAGCTTCCTATTTGCGAATCAAACTGAAGGCACCGCCCACCCTAAGTTAGGGGCTTTGAGCTTTTGGCGTACGATGATGGGACCTTCTACCAAGCCAATGCCCCAAGTCGCGGCGCAATATATCCTTTGATTCAACGGGATTGGCGGCTGAAAGGCGACCGCTCGCATCCCTGACTCAGTCTGCGTCTCTCTTGCGGCGTGCTCTCTGACCATCCTCTAGCCACTTCCAGTAATGCCCGCCCATCCTATTGCTGTTTGGGGAACCTTCCCCGTTTTCTCCGGAACGGGGATTGTCGGGGTTTCCGAGGAGTGACTTCATATTCGGAATCGGGGTGACGAGAAGGCCCCGGAACGACAAAAAACATGGAAGTCGAGAAATGGGTGGATGATGCCTTCAAAGAGGAGATCAACAAGGACCCTCAAACTTGTGGGCTTTCTAAGCTTGCACTGTCCTTTGTATGGCATGCGTAACTAACAACTACTAGTCAGGGACAAAACCTAAGATTTGATCCGTTTATTAGCAACAACTAGTAGCATTATCACGTTCTATTACAGAAGAAATCCGAACAGTTACGTGGATTTATTTGCGTCGAACATTCGTTGGATTAATTCATGTCCCACTGTTCAAGTAATTCATAAATTTTCAAGTAAATTCATAAACTATCTAATGAATAAATCTTTTGTTTATATAATTGTTGAAGTTAATATGAGCACGTACGAAAAACTCACTAAAAGCTCAGCACTGCACAAGTTTTCCTCTCTATGAAATAACGCGCATAGATGACGTAATTAGCGCATGGACCGTTTCTTTATTTTGAAGCAATTGCTGGAAAAATCTGTTGACTCTGAACTCAAATTTATCTTCTAAGCATAACCAGGGCTCGGCACAGGTGGCTTACAAGCAAGCTGGATATCGTTTTTGGGACGAAAAGCAAAGGGGTTTCGTTTTTGTGGACGAAGACACGCAAAATTGGCGGCGCTTTTTTTTACTTGACGTTTCGTTCTTGGAGAATTTTTGGGGAATATGGTGTAGGGTCAAAGGGGACTCCGTAAAAATACCCAAAAATCAAGGGGGACTTCGTTTTTTGCATTTTCATCTAGACATCTCGTGCCGAGCCCTGAGCATAACATCAAAAGTCTTGTTCCTTAAAAGCAGAACCTGAAGGAGGGTAATGAAGGGAGTCGTGATCAGATTGTCTTGTTCCTTGAAAATCTTTCCAATACTTGATCTTTTTCACCGAATGCCTTTGAAAGACATGTAATCAGACAACATAGAGGGATGTCCGCAAAACACGAGATATTTGCAGCAGTTCCGCATGATTTTATTCACTATCACAGAAGTCTAAAAGTTCGGGAATGGAAACTTCCGCAAGGATCAAGCGCCATACTGACTGAAAACGAAAGTTCCGCAGCAGTTTTCTTACAAGGCTGGGTGGAGTTCGTTCTCTGCATGTCCAGCGGAACTTTCGCAATTGTCCTGAGTAAGGGATTACAAGGCTAATAGTTTCATTTTCATTTCATTTTCATTCATGCACATATGAGCGCCAACAAGAAAAACCAAATTGAAACCAAAACAGGAAATGCACAGAACAAATAAACAAGCATAAATCACACATTGAAAAGGAGGAAAACAAAAAGAGAACCCACACATGGCCACAAGCTAACGTCATCCAAAGCTACATATAGCTATACCTCCCCTGTTTTCCATAAAACCGTGAGGAATAGTGCCAATCAAACCAAAACATCACGCTAAATAGAACTAGGAAGAGGGAAACCTAGGCGAATGGGACAAACCATGCGTACTTCGGTAGAAAGTCCTTTCTCCATAGTTACTATTGGACCTTTCAAAAAAGCTGATCACGCACACTTTCAAGTAAACCTGAGCGCAAGTGTTCTGTCCACTTCCGCTCAGCCGCTCAAATTACGGTCATAACTTCAATTTCTTTTAAAAATGCCGATAACTTGATAGGGAGCTTATTTCGCCCAATGTTCTTCTACATAAGTACGGAGGAATTCGTGATTGCGGGAGGTTTCTCGAGATATTTCCTTCTTTCATCTTTTGATAAATTCAACAGTAGGGTTTGTTTGTGAAGACATAGATTAGTATGTCTATTTCAAAAGACAAAGAAGATCCTTTCGACAATCGTACAGCTATCATATTACATAATCACCTGTTGATCAGCTCTTTAGCTGTAGACTATACCAGTTTATATCAGCGGTCGAAGACAACACGATTGAAGTGAAATTAGCGTGTTGTTTGTGCACACAAGCCCAAACAACAACTGCGATCTATATCAGTGTGACCTCTTATGCATAACTGCACTCTAACATCGCTTTGTCTCTTGCATTTGACATAACGGTTTCCGTGTGGGCGTTGCTTGACTGACAAGTAGAGAACAGGTGTGTTTGTCTCTACTAGAAAAATACTTTCGCCATGGCTATATAAGACGGTGCACTTCTATAGTGACATAGCACCAGTCCACCAACCATGGATTTGGACGCACGCATCAAGGCGTATCGTTTCGTCGCCTATGCGTCAGTTACCTTCTCCGTGGTAGCTGTTGTCTCCGTATTTATCACCCTACCTATGGTGTACAACTATGTGCACCATGTAAAGCGACAGGTTCATAATGAGGTCAACATCTGCAAGGTAAGAGTAATTCTTGTAATTGTAATTGTTCAGTTTTCCATTTTTAAAAGATTATATCGCAAGTATTGACTGCATTGAATCTACTCATCTTTTTGCTGAAGTATGCGAATTATAGGGATCGGCTAAGGACATCTGGACAGAAGTTCACTCTCTCAAGGATGTGCCTGTCGCCAACAGAACAGCTCGTCAAACCTACAGCGAAGGCGGTGCTGGAGGCGGTGGTGCAAACTACGGAGGCAGCAGTGGTGGTGGTGGTGCGCATTATGGAGGTGGAAGTGGTGGCTGGAGCGGTGGTGGAGGTGGTGGTGGAGGCGGTTGCGCTGGCTGCTGCTTACCAGGACCCCCTGGAGCAGGAGGTACTCCCGGAAGACCCGGAAGACCCGGAAAGCCTGGAGCTCCCGGTATGCCCGGGCATCCTGGAAGAGGTGCTGCTGCGGCTTGCGAACCCGTGACTGCGCCACCCTGTCAGCCTTGCCCTGCTGGACCACCTGGACCTGCTGGAGCCCCTGGAGCACCCGGAGGACCAGGACAAGATGGAGCGCCAGGAACATCTGCAGGAGCTGCCCTTCCTGGACCCCCTGGACCACCTGGAGCACCTGGTGCACCTGGTAATGATGGAGCTCCTGGAGCGCCTGGAGCCCCTGGAGCACCTGGACAGAGCGAGGGTGGTGGACCCGGAGGACCTGGACCTATGGGACCTCCTGGACCGGCCGGTCAACCTGGACGTGATGGAGCACCAGGATCTGGTGGAGTCGGTCCCCCAGGACCTAAAGGACCACCTGGACCAGCCGGTGCACCTGGTGGTGCTGGAAATCCTGGAGCACCAGGAGCTCCCGGACAATCCGGAGGTGCCGGAGAGAGGGGAATCTGTCCCAAGTACTGCGCCATTGACGGCGGAGTGTTCTTTGAGGACGGAACTAGGCGCTAAGCCAATTCTGATTTTCATAGCCAAAGTGCTATGGTACAAACAATCTCAATCGTGTAGTCGAAATAAATCAATTGAATGCAGTTTATGTGGCAAAACTCTTTCAGCGTCAGTGGCGTATGTATTGCACAGGTGATGATCATATGCAAATAATCACAATCACTAAATTGCAGACAAAGATCTTATGTGCTCATGAATGAAGCTGTGAAAATTCAAAATCCGTTGGTTTTCAAGTTCTTCGACTATCCCTTAGTTATTAGTTGAGATATGTTCACTTAGCGCTACGTTCTTTGTCATAATTGCGGGGAAATCTACCGGTAATCAGATCAAATAGTTGGCTTAGGAATAGCATTAACACGCATTCTTTTTTGGTGCCTTGGCCAAAAAAAAGAGTTTTGGGGTTATGCAGGGATGAAGGGGAGAGGGAATGGGGTGTATTGGACATTCAAAGTAGCGCATTCTCCTATCACCTCTAGATTACAACGTTAACAGTATTAGCGCAGAATACACTCATATTTTTTATAATGACAAATTAAAATTGAAGTGATTGTAAAACTGAATGTAACGGTGAAGTTCACCGAAGTTAAATTACTGGATTTGGTCTCCCCTTTTCAAAAACTTTCAATTGTATAGATTTTTGGTGGTGAGGGCCCCGGTAGGTATATATCAAGCAAATTTGATAGCTTTGGAGTTTCAGCATTGATTGGAATTGTCAGCAGCTGAAGTTACTGAAAACCTTCAAAAACATCAATTAGTAAATAATTTATTATGTCGGCAAGTTTCATTCTGCGTTTTTTCTTTCAACCGAACCACTTCTACAAGGCTAAAGTGCAGTTCGTGCCGCGCATCCTCTTTTTTTCAGAAATACGTTAAAGACTTCCCGGGTGTCCAAATCCACTTCTTATTTGAGAGGGGGGGGGGGGGTGGAGGGGAGGTAAAACATTTTATCCATTGATATTACTCGTGTTGAACATGTACGCATAACAATTAGCATACTAGATTTCGTGTTCTGCGCACGGATCAGAAAGCTGACCGTGCAAGACGCTTTACATAAGCCCTTCTCAACATTGCCTTGGACTTGATTTTTTTTTCAAAAAAAAAGATGTTACAGCAATAAAAAGCATGCTGCAGAACAGAATTGCAAAATAAAGTATTCAACCAGCAATTTCATGCGCAGAAATTTCCCAGTTTCTCTTACAAACAGCAATTTCAACCAGCTTCTGATGGATGTGACGATTCAAAAAGTATGGGCGATCCATAGCATGCAAAGAATGCGGACATATCGGCGTCTCCGTGGTCAAGCGTCTCTTTCGCTCCCCTTACCGTCTGCTGTCTCTCCTATGCACAAACTATCTTCGCCGGACGCAAAGGCGTCCAGTCTTTGCGTGTCATGAATCGACGATAGCTAACGTGGGTTTGTCAGGAAGTAAGAAACAAGAACCCTTCTCAATTTTTGCTCTTTGATTTTACTCATCTTATTTCGAATGAGATTAATATAAGTTTAATGAAATCATTAGCAAAGTTTGCTAAGAGTAAAAGGCTAAAATGTGTGCTGCCACAAAGTATAACTTCTCGCTCATTAACATCTCTTTCGTAACATAACTACGCTTTTACGATGCAATACTATGCAGAAAGAGTGAATCATCAAGCATTTTCGACTTGAATCACAATGGTGGTTCCTTCTCAATCAGACCGTTCTCATTCCTTAATTAAACAGGAACTGCACGGAAGATTGAAGTTCGAGCTAAACGCACACGTAACGATAAGGCAAAATTTGTTTTGCAGACAAAGGCTAGTAGGCGCATTACGAATAACAAGTTTATATAGGTGGAGAGCGTGGAGAACTTTTTTGAATTCAAGCTACTGATGGAGAAATGACTTATTTGCAGCGTGTAAACTGCGTGAAATGATGTATGAATTACTTTTTGAAGCTTTCTTGGGAACTACTGATGATGGGGCACCAAGAAAGCTACACTACCGGTCTAGTTCTTAGCCCCGAAACCGGTCGTGTAAAAAAAAACAGTAGTTATCGTTCGTTCGTTGACCGTACGGACTGCCGACCGCGTGGCGACTGCGACGCGTGCCTTCTAAATTTGCGAAAAAGTGACAAGTTGGACCGTGGCTTAAGATGAGAAGAATTCTTTGTTTCTTTTCTACATTATAAAGATGAGAAGAATCCTCTGTTTTCTTTCTATTCATCTTTTCTACGAAAACATCATGCACGCGCAGCGGTCGCCGCGCGGTCAGCAGTCGTTACGGTCAACGAATAAACGATACCTTTTGGATATTTTGGAATTCTTGGAATATTCTTTCTCATTGTGGACTTATCTCTTTGTTTATGACGCCAAGTTTTGTATGTACAGCAGTACGGCTAGAGGGCAGAGTTTGAAGTTATGTAGAAACATGGATCTACTAATTATTATTTACCAAGGTAGTGGGAACCTGACTTTGAATCCTTCTTTTCATTCTCGCTAGAACTTTAGATAGCGTCAAATGTCGTGGGTCTTTAGAAGGAAAGCGCGCTCCATTAGGACGACTGAAACTACTGGCGCTATCCAAGGACATCGCAAAATTCGAAAGTGGCAAAGAAGCAAATCTCCTTTACAGGTGTCCATTTGCCACCCTTGTGTCGTGCCCTGCTAACATGAACACCAATTGCACAAGTTTTCCAAAATTTAGATTTTCGAACTCAAACTCGGCTTGTATGGTCTACTACTATATTCTGCCATCTTAATAAAGCTTTCATTATCAGGCTAGAGTAGTCATGGTTGTACAGTAATCAGAAGCACGTCTATTAAGATAGGGGTGATACCAAAAAGGAAAGTATGCAGTTTTGCGAAGAAGTTCTTTTTTTATTCCTAAGATTTTTGGTTTAGTCACTTTTACAGCGAAATGCATACTCTTAGTCTCACTGGATTTGTACCTGCCCACTGCAGCGACAAAATTTGCGTAGCGCACTTATACGATGCTGCTAAAGCCACTTTTTATGATATTTTGTGCAATGCCCCTCGAAATCTTGAAACTTTTGATGAAGAAATTCCCAAAATTTGAAACTTACTGTGTCATGATTGGAAGTTGAAGTCCTGCCAGGCGCGAACGAGAATTTTCATGTTTTTTTTTACTTTAAATCTGGCTGATGCTGCTTGCAAGTTGAAATGTTTTCCTCAAAATCACAGGTTGCAATTTCATGTATATTATACTGTTGAGCATCTGACTCGGTTACATTTTTGTATAAAAAGAACTATAGTTGGTTTTGTCATGAGGGGGAGAATTTTACACCTATGATGGTCAAAAATCAAGCACAAATTTCCATGCGCTGGAAATTTTGGAACGATTATCTCAAGATTCTGCGCCCTCAGGTCACTATTAAAAATGGTATAGGATTCACTCAATCTCAGAATTTATTGTTCTCAATGATTTGAGGGTTCAAGTTTAGCACTGGTGACTCAGAGTACTGCTCGAACTAAAAGATTTAAGCGGCTTACGGAGTCCGAGAGTAACTTTCGGATACTCAACCGTTATGCGGTCTTCAGACAATTAGATTCATAGTTATAAGTATGAAAATTAACGGTTATAAAATCCGGAAAGATTAGCCGTATGCGTGTAAATGCACTATTTTCAAATCTTGTATTTGGATGATATACAGAAGAAAACGACAGACACCATGTTCTTATTTATGTCATATGATAGGTTAATCCATAAGGCATATATGGGAAGGTAGGCAGCGCTCTATCTGACTCTAAACATTTTGAAAGAAGTTTTCTGACAAAGTCGTTCTTGTAACCATTTGATCAGATTGTTTTGATGATTCTCTGCTATGCTACTCTGTAGATTTATATGCACTTATTGTCATCCAACCATTTTAACTCAATAAAACGCTGTTTTATCACATCAACTGCAATCAACTAATTTATTTCTAACAAAAATGTAATGGAATGTAGAATCAATAGCACTTTGGCTATGGAATTGCAAACTGGCTTATCGCCTAGTTCCGTCCTCAAAGAACACTCCACCGTCAATGGCGCAGTACTTGGGACAGATTCCTCTCTCTCCGGCACCTCCGGCATGTCCGGGAGCTCCTGGTGCTCCAGGATTTCCAGCACCACCAGGTGCACCGGCTGGTCCAGGTGGTCCTTTAGGTCCTGGGGGACCGACTCCACCAGATCCTGGTGCTCCATCACGTCCAGGTTGACCGGCAGGTCCAGGAGGTCCCATAGGTCCAGGTGCTCCTGGTCCTCCACCCTCACTCTGTCCAGGTGCTCCAGGGGCTCCAGGCGTTCCAGGAGCTCCATCGTTACCGGGTGCACCAGGTGCTCCAGGTGGACCAGGAGGTCCAGGCAGCGCAGCTCCGGCATGATTTCCTGGCGCTCCATCTTGTCCTGGTCCTCCGGGTGCTCCAGGAGCTCCAGCAGGTCCAGGTGGTCCAGCAGGACAAGGCTGACAGGGTGGCGCAGTCACGGGTTCGCAAGCTGCAGCAGCACCTCTTCCAGGATGCCCGGGCATACCGGGAGCTCCAGGCTTTCCGGGTCTTCCGGGTCTTCCGGGAGTACCTCCTGCTCCAGGGGGTCCTGGCAAGCAGCAGCCAGCGCAACCGCCTCCACCACCACCTCCACCACCGCTCCAGCCACCACCTCCACCTCCGTAATGAACACCACCACTGCTGCCTCCATAATTGACACCACCGCCGGCTCCAACAGCTCCTTCGCTGTAGGTTTGACGAGCTGTTCTGTTGCCGAAAGGCATGTCTTTAAGAGAGTGAACTTCTGTCCAGATGTCTTTAGCCGATCCCTATAATTAGCATATTTCAGCAAAAAAATAAGGAAATTCCATAGCAAATGTTTTGAAGCTTTTTTCGAAAGTTTGGTCAAAATACATTACTTCTCCGGGCAGTTACTTTTGCGAAATAATTGTTCTCGTGCACAGTTAAGTAAAACTTACAGAAAATACTCTTACCTTGCAAATGTTGACCTCATTATGAACCTGTCGTTTTACATGGTGCACATAATTGTACACCATCGGCAGGGTAATCATAACGGAGACAACAGCCACCACAGAGAAGGTAACCGACGCATAAGCGACGAAACGGTACGCCTTGATGCGAGCGTCCAAATCCATGGTTGTGGATCGGTCTTACTTCTAAGGAACCAGCGCCTTATATAGTCAAAGTGAAATCTGATATAATCTACCAGAGACAAACACATTAATATTCTTCTTGGCACCTGAACAATGTCCGCAGTGAAACCGTCATATCAGTGGTAGGGACGAGGAAGAGGAAGAGGGGGGAGGGGGTGCGTTGATTGTTAGTGTTGATCAAAGACTTTGTGGAGTTGTTTATGCAAAGGACACTAAAGTGTATAATCCATCGGAAATACGAGTTTCTCCGTGCGACCAGTGACCCAAACTGGTATGCATTGCAAGAGCCGATTTGCAGCTGATTACGCGATATCAGCTGCTGATTAGCCTTTGAACGTTATAATCTCATTATCTCACAGATGCAGCTATGAACAACAGTCTAAGCTTATCATCCATTCGGTAATAGTGCATCAAACAGTTATTTTACTGATATCACCAAAATCTTATCTGGGAGGCACTCAAGACGTAGAAAGTATTGAAGTTTTGAAGTCTATACTTTAATTTAGCTAATCGATAGCAGTTTTCTGTGCGCCTTTTTGTGCGGTTTTCAGGCATTGGGTCATTTCTCAAAAACAACCATGCTCAAATTTTAGGAAGAAGCAGCTTTCCTACAGGTCATTTATAAAATCGTGACGACGGATTTGATTGCGGCCTTTGCGCTCATGGAAGCATAAAACATTTATACAAAGAGGCTTCACCTTAATGCCTAGTTCAGTCACTTGCAGTTTCTACAACTATCACACATGAGCAGAACTTTTCAAAAGCAAAACTTTAGCAGGATTGTGCTTATCGTAAGACGACAAAGGCTGTTTTGAGGTTCAAAATCTGCTTTAGGGTAAAATTGAAACTTGGTTGAAAAATGCGTGGGTACACGAGGATTTTCCAAGCATCAAACAAAATGTTTATTGAAAAGCTTAATCTTTACTTCAATCCTGATAAGCTAATTAGAATGCTTGAACCACAGAAAAACAGACTTTTTTGGAGCGCGCTGAAAAAGCATTTTGAACTATCTGATTGTGAGAAGAATAGCGCTCCTCTTGTGGAACTGCAGTGGACTCAGTGTGTAGTAGATATCTCGAACATTGTTACTGCCATTTCACAAAATTTTGGACTTGAAAAACTGCATTTTGAGTGAAAAAAGGAGCTTCCTTTGTATGCGTATGATTTTGAACTGCGACGCATTTGGCGCAAAAACACTAATAAGATTGACATTGAATTTCATTTGTGTGATCGCGTATACCGTTTTCGGCTTTGCTGTTTCACGTGACATCAACGGCTAACCGAATTTCTCCCAAAAAATCCCGAAACGTCCAAAATTTGGGGTGTTTAATAATTACGAAATACTTTATATTTTACTTGCGACCAATCAATGCGGTCTCAGTATCTGCGATATCATCTAGAGCGTCACGTTGATCCTTGCATTAGCAATATACTGAAGTATTGATTTACAGGGTGGTTTACAAACATTTAATGCGTAGAAATGTCCCTATGCACCAAACAATTCGAATTAAAAAAACCACTTTTTTGGCCAGAAACATTGAATGGAACTTTATCAATCACAGTCTGGAAATGTTTGCCTTGAGCTTTAAATAGGCATTTGATTTTCGTGAACTCTTATTTGTGCAGTTATATTGGTGCAGAAGAGTTCACAGGTCCAGTACAGCGCTCAAACTGTGTCCGAATTGTGCTATTTTGCGCCATTTCTTGCCATTTCTACGTTTCTAGATATTGCTCTTTCCTATCGCATTCTTGCATCTTTTTCTCTTGTAATGAAAGAAGTCTCAAATTTAAAACGAGTTTGAGAAAGGACGTTATCTCGAGTTGTGTGTTACATGAAAACTATCCCGAACAGCAAGCGCTCAACTTCACCAGCGTGAATGATAACCGATAGGAATTCGCAGGAATTCGCAAAGTGGTGTAATCACAAAAAGTTGGCTGTGTGTTTGTATTACAAGCATTCCGAGTGGAAAAATATCTATTAAATGCACCATGGGTTTCGTGTCTCATGGCCATCTTTATGCACATCGATAGATAGTACAGAGTACCCTAAAACGATTCTTATGCTTCACGACTCTCTTAGGCAATACGCAGCTCGGTATATGGTTCTTCGGTCGCAAGTCTTTGACGCATTTGGACTGGTCAATTTAAAAAAAATCTCCGCGTGTCTATAGTCTGAAAACAGGGTATTGAACATTGAATCTATTAGTATATGCCTGGTACGTCATAACTTCGAACATTTATTTTATTGATGACATTAGGTATAGGAAGCATTACGTACATTTGCATATGCATTAAGACTTTTTTGCACAGCAGCTGAATTGCTACAAACATACAATGAATGGTGTTTGACGTTTTCTAAGGAATGCACAGAAATTCTACCATCTGCGTGGTGCAACTAATTTTTCTATTAGTCCATAGTAAGTTTCATGTTTCAAGCGTTTCAAGGTTGCTTCAAGCGTGCAGTTCGGAATCCGCTGCTTTTAAATTAGTTGTGTATTAGAAATTTAACTCCCAGGATCACATAATGCAAAGCAAAATATTAGATTGTAAAATAGATTCGTTTGCATTTTTTGTTTTAGTTTTTTTTTTCTCAATCTTTTGCAAAGCATCTGACAAAACGTTGTATGCATTCGAAAGCTCTAAGTCTGCTCTACCAAACTGCTTTCATTATTCTCTTAGTCATTATGAAGTAAAGAAAAATTCGACTACAAACCGGAAAATCCGAGAAAGCGAACATTCCATTTTCGACATCTATGTTACGCTGTGGCTACTCAAATGAGTTTAAACGCTGATAAACAGGTCGAAAGATTTGGAACGTGTATATATAGAGTACTATATCTCCCAAAAACTACTTTTAAGTGCTGAATTTCTCAACAATTCGTATTACAAGCTTGAAGATGGGTCTATTTTTGAGGTCCCTTTGGCGTCAACGCTGAGCACCCGAAGGCACCTTGAGAGACTATGGCCCGTAGTAAAGCTCGGTAATGGGAGATTATCTCCCCTGAGACCTTCATGTGATGTTCTCTCAGTAAAATGACGACCGCCCATTTCCCCATGCTATAGGGATGCAACGTCACCTGAGAGGTGAGCCTCAGGTGCAGATTCAGATTTTCTCTGCGTTTCCTCGTTAGCACACTATTTCTGGACATCTCGCACACTATTTCAGATCATCTCCCTGCCGGGTCATGAGAGATGATATGAGCGATGATGTCCAGAAATAGTGTGCTAACGAGGAAACGCAGAGAAAATCTTCGTAAGTTGCTCCTGATAACTTACGATACACAGCAATTTGCCTAACACTGCGGACAAAATCGGCGCAGAATTGCACAACCGCGCCCGAAAAGGAGAGGATCGATGAACAGCTGATTTTGGCGAGGAAGACAGAAAAAAACAAATTCTTCTCATTTTTGTAAACTTTACTGGTTTTTTTTGAAGCTGTCCAAAACGAGGACTCATTTGCTCATTTCATTGAATTCACGTTGCAACCATTTCGTTTTGCCGCAAAATTTTTTTCGTAACGAAATGTTTTCTTGTTTTATCTTTGCGTTTGCTAGGCGAAATCCTGATAGCGGTCATCATCGATTGGGAAGTGGCCGCTATCAAAGATTGCCCGGCGACGCAGCAAAAGTTGTGTCGCTAAGCGGAGTCGAACCACGGCCGCGCGCGTGTAATTCCAGTGGCATACCCATTTAACCAAATCGAACCAAGTAGATATTTTTTCGAGAACGCACTTGATCATAATATCCAGGAAGAGATCTGCATCCAGATCAATAGCTCGCCGGATGCTGGACTGAGGCGCCAAGATATCAACTCCGGTCCGCCTTAGGGGAGATGCCCTGACGGTAGTTTACTACGGGCCTATGACTTGCCGAACAATACAGAATTGGCAAACTAAGGGGTGTTTGATCATAAAATCATCGAATATCTGGGTTATTCTAAAATCCAGATCTTGGGGGACACGCAAATCAAGTAATCGAAACGACGAAGGACGATGGGGAAGTCTTGCTCCGTTGATTACAAACATGGGATTGAAAGGAAGTGAGCAAGTGCAAACAGTGGCAGTAATGCATAAATGATTAGTCTGTTGTTCTCAGTTGTTGTCAGGCTTTCTAATAAAGTCTATCAATGATCAGCAGGAAAAATTAAGAGAGAGAAAGATGTCGAAAATGGAATTATCGCGTTCTCGGATTCTTTTAAGCATTGAATTTTTGAATCTAAACGTTCCCGAATGCATACAAAATCTCGCCAAATGCTTTGTTAAATATTGAGAAAAGAGTAAAACAGAAAATGCGAACGAATCTATCACACAACCTAATATTTTGCTTTGTATTATGTAATCCTGGAAATGAGATTTTTGATACATAGCTTATTCAAAAATAGCGTAAAATGCGGCGCTCGTATAGCCGCAAAAGAGTAGTGTCATGTTCGCTTAGCAATCAAAACAAATAGAGTGACAGGATAAAATACAGAAGTGCTCCGCTTACTATCACTCTAGAAAGGAACACCATTAATGATTGATGGCTAATTCGAAAAACTTGAACGAACATCATCACTTAGGTACCATCTCATGGAGTAACCATTCCAGCGATGATGATCAGGTTCAGGTAAGAAAAAGTCATTGTAATTCCAATTTTTTGTTTTCTTAATTGACGTCGTAAAGGAAGGAAAAAAAGTTGTTATCCTTGGCATGTTGGTGTCATCTCGGTGAAAGTATTGTACTTTTTTATAAGATCTACTTCCTGCAATGGAACTAATCTCTTTGTTCATTGATTGTTCTGATTTTGCAAAAGTTCCAGCTTGCGTTACGGAACTTCGAACTGCTTTTATGTAAGCAATAGCACACTTAGCTTAGTTACATACATATTCAAATTAATGCCTTCACGCAAGTGCACTTCTTAGCACAAGTCTTATCTGGTCCCATCTGTCCCTTTCCCTCGCTTGCGACATTCACCATGTTCCTGCTGTTCCTTCGCCTTTGTCCACGAAACCAAGGTGCAGAAATCGCTTCCGGCTAAATTATCCTCTAATCCGTTCAACGAACTGTCCGCCCATTGCTGCATACTTTGGCTCAGAATAGGTGTTGGTAAGCTAAAAGAGCAATTATCCGCAAAACGAACTTAAAGAGCACATTCGTCAGCTAATCTAAGACTTCCCAACGGAAAACTGTGGTATTGCTTTGAAGAGTTGATTGAAACGCCAAGAGTGGGCCTAAATGGAGTAGCCGCACTGTTGTTGCAAAAAATGGTGTGGATTTAACGTCTTGAGTAGGAGAGGTTTATTTTCCATCCACTTGTGCTGATAGTACGGCGTTGAATTTGACAATGAAAGCGTACTCGTACTTGGATAAGGTTAGAAGGAAGCGCGTATATATACGGTAACCTGGCAAAATTCTGTAATTTCCCATTCACCACGGTAAAGTGCATCCAGTTAAGCTTGTGTTTTAGGCAGAGTTTCGTCGATTTTAAAAGCACGGATATTCCTTGTAGAAAACTTGTGCAGCACGCTTGGCAGGATATTGCATGGTAGTTTCTTGCTCCGCCTTCAACTCTTCTGAAAACAGATACAGTCGAGTAGATTTAGCAGTAAATATAGTGTGCTTGCACAGAAGGTAAAATGCGGTGAAATTTGCGCGTGAACAAGTAGCCACGTCAGTACCGCGGGCATCTTGCGCGCGCAATTGATCGGCGTCACAGTCGAAACTATTTCTTCACGCGCCAATTTTACCGCATTTCACCTTCTGTGCAGGCACACTATATTTACCGCTAATCTACTCGACTGTACAATTGGTCCTCTAGGTAGTGGTGAGACAGGTGCAGGAACCTTATGTGTACGATGTCCTTCAGCTTGCAGAAACACGACATAAAGATATTTAGGTCCTGAGCTGTAGTTGTACTCATCTTTCAAAATGCAAACTGATCGGATCCGGTTTGAAAGCAACCATGTCACTATCTTTGAGAGGCAACTTTAAGACCGCATGCGTTGTTTCCTTCAACAAAATCTCTAAATTGACTTTCGTTAGTATTTTTTCTTATAAGGTGGGCAGTTGCATTATTGGTAAGGATTATCGCCACTCTATCACTCTTTGAAAAGTGTAAAAAATGTGAGAAAATGAAACAAAGTTATCATAAGCAACGCTTATGTATTTTTTCGGTTAAAACGCAAGTGTTCTTGTAGTTATTAGGTAGAGTTTACAATAACTGTTTTGCGCAGTTATCGTAAGGAAAAGTAGAAGCACCACAATCATGCGAACACCAATATTTTGAGAGTTTCAAACTTTCTTTGAAAAAACACAGAAAACCGCTAGTATTACGCGGAAGGGCATAGCCGGAAATGATATACGCGGCACAAGAATGAAGATCGGTGTCTTTCCAAGAAATCGAATGCGATTAATTGGTTCATAACTGTACGACCACCCCAAACAAAGCTCTTTGCGATCTTTTGTATCAAAATTCTTAGTAGAGTTACAGTAACAAGTCTGACAAGGAAAGGAAGGTTGGTCGAAGTGGCCTTTCGAAATGCGATGTATACTACCTTGTAGAGCTTGGAAGGCTGATTCCAAATCTACCTTTGCCATCTGCTGCGGGCTTCTGGGCGAGGACTTATGAAGGTTTTTGTGACTAAAGAGCTGAATGCAAGAGTAGGCTAAAGTCAGTCGTAACATTTTTTATAGGGCTTAATTGGTAGCCGGGTCACTCGGTGCAAAAAATATTCTTGATTTAAATGTACCAATTCGCTGCTGCCTCATTTGAACATTGGGAAAAGCTTACGACTGATTTTATCCTAATTTTGCATTCAGATTATAACCGCAGAAGTTCGTATTCGGAGCTAAAACATTCCCGAAGATCACAGCGATTCTAACAAAAGTATAGTGCCATGTATACCGTTTTCGGCTATGACCTTTCACGTAGCACCAGCGCTTTTTTGAGTTTCTTCCAAAAAAGTCCCGACTAGCAAAATATTGGGTGTTGCCGCAATTTATATTAAGCATGAAATTTAAATTATAGTTTCAGGGGGAACTTCTCTCATGGAGGGTACGTTATGTGAGAAAAGACAACAGCGAAATGGAGCATTTGGTAAGCCTGTAATTTATACATGGCTTACTTTACGTGAACAGAAGTCTCAAAATCCAACAAAGTATACTACTCATAATTCGGGCAAACTCACCAACTACTCAAAATTTACTACATCAAATTTACTATTTAATTTGATACATCTACAACTACTCAAACTGATCAACTACTGATTAAGCTGTCCAAGCAAAGTTATAAAATGGTTTTCAATGTGTCTGCTCTAAATTTCTCTTGGGTATTTTCTTTAGTATAGATGCACTTGGCATGAAATATGTTAAAGTGCGGTCCATAATCATATTTCATATTTTGTTAGTATCTTGCCTTTTTAGAAGAAATCTAATGAATCCTTGATACCACGTGAAAGAGTATTGCCGAAAACGGCATGCGCAGCACAAGAATTGAAATGGGTGTCGTTTTAGAAATGTTTTCGCGACATAGATATAGAACACTCCAACGAAGTTTGAGTGTTCTATATCTATGGCGCAAAACACAAAACTGCAACCTTTCGAGTCAAAATCTTTCATAAGGTTACAGTAGCAAAATCTGAGATCAACTACGCACTGATCCTAGTGCAGTTTAGAAAGGAACATTACTCTTTTCAAACGGCTCAGCGCTCGCCTGATTTTCTTTTCTCAAGCACTCTACAGTCGAGTAGATTTTCCTCTTAATATTGTGTGCTTGCACAGTTTATGAAATGCGGTAAAATTTGCGCGTGAACAGGTAGCTGCGCCAGCATTGCCGGCATTTTGCGCGCGCAATTGGCCGGCGTCACAGTCGAAGCTAATTCCTCACGCGCAAATTTTACCGCATTTCACCTTCTGTGCAAGCACACTATATTAAGCGGAAAATCTACTTGAGTGTAATTAACTCTAGCCAAAATCCCACAAAATTGTACATGCTTTGTGCTTAGCTTATCATAGGGCTGTAGAAGCTTAGGGTAAGGTTGGAGCTTGATTGATGTGACAGGTACACAGAGATCTTTTAAATCTCAAAGAAGTATTAGGTTGGCCCTAAAGTTCTTTCGCAAAAAGGAAAAAAAGGAAAACCGGTTTCAATCTTTAGGATGTTTCTGCCTCAAATGCGAATTTTCAACGGTTCATAATCACACGAGCACCGCAAACAAAGTTATTCTTCACACTTGAAAATGCAAACTTTCGCGTCAAAACTTTTTGTAAATTTACAGTAACAAAGCATAAGACATATGGTACATACTGAACAAAGCAGCTCAAAAGAGAAAGCGTTATTCTTTTCCGACTGCTCAAAATGCTTTTGGGATCAGTGGCCTCCAAACAACAACAACAACGCTTTCTCTTTTGAGCTGCTGGGTTCAGTATGTACCATATGTCTCATGCTTTGTTACTGTAAATTTACAAAAGTTTTAACGCGAAAGTTTGCATTTTCAAGTGTGAAGAATAAGTTTGTTTGAGGTGCTCGTGTGATTATGAACCGTTGAAAATTTGCATTTGAGGCAGAAACATCCCTAAGATTGACACCGGTTTTCTTTTTTGTGCCACCGCTTTTACTACGCTTTTTCACGTAGTATCAACGGTTCTTTATGTCTCTTCTGAAAAGAACAAAAGACGGACTCGTAATTTGTCCGCTCTGACCCGAAATCTGACGATGCGACACAAATGACGAACTTCAGTGGAAATTGCTGTTTTATTCGTAAATATGAATTGTTTGATACATTATGAAGAAGATACACATTCAGCTTGTAAATTTCAACGTCTCTCGTTTGGACGCGGAGGAAGTCTGCAGGTCTATGGAAATGGAGCTGGGATCATTTGAGGACTTAGATGAGCAGCTGATTGTTATTGGTAAGATGATTGGACTACGTAGAACTGAACTTTTTAGTAGTTATTCATCTTATCAACGCATATTGATCTTCCTTATTTGAGTGAAGAGGCTTTGAGGATTCAATGTCGACAGCGCGCCATCAATAAAATCAAAGCGCAGTCTTTTTCAGCAGTATTGTCCCATCACGTGTATTTTGTTTTTTTCCTACTTAGCAAATCTTCCCATGGATATATTGAAAAACAGTAGTAAGAACTAAGCAACGAAAAAAGGGAGTACTGTACCGCCGCAAGGTTTAGAGCTAAGAGTTTTTGCTGATATTTCCATGCGCGATTCAGTTGCGGATACGGGGCTCGGCACGAGCTGGCACCAGGGAAATTTCAAAACAAATTCCCGTTTCATCTTGAAAATTTCGTACGAAGTCCCCTGACCTGTTTTGAAGACCCGCCATTAGTTTGGATTATGTAAAAGTATGTAGTAGGATTTTCATGCATGCTGATTTCATGGAACAACTTTTCACAGCTTTTTGAGTTTGTAAGTGGTGAATCACATCTTGAGGAGAAGAAAACCGATCTTTCGTTTGCGGAGCAGACCAAGTAATTTTCAAATGGCTATAAAACGCTGAAAAGAAAACATTATGAAACTGTAACTTCTCTGTATGTAAACTTTTACATTGTAGATACATTTTATGTAAAAATGTAAAAACTTATGTGAGCAAAGTGTCGGTGCCAGCTGAGCTGGCACCCAGCTGGCACGGAGCCAGCTAATTCAGAAAAAAGTTCGGCACAGCTTTCATTCACATAAGTTTTCATAAATTTTTGGGCCATTGTTCGGGTTCCTCAACACGCATGCACACCAAATTTGGTGTCATACTATTGCGTTTTGGCTGAAAACAACGCCTTTGATTATTTGATGGACAGCATGCCGGTGCATACCGGCGGCATTCTTGCGACTCTTTTCCACCACGAAGCCCGGAAATACGGTGTCTCCTTTGCTTTTCGCCTTAAAAACGATATCCAGCTTAACCCAGTGCCAGCTGTGCCGAGCCGTGCAGGTAGATCTGATTGTAAGCAAGATTTCTCAAGAAAGAAACAAGCTTAGTAACATTTAGGAGCCTTCCAAAACAAGTGCACCACCTGTGGCAGATACTATTGGATTGATACATGGTGGTAAGCTGTCTGATCTCAAGATTCCCACGTAGCTTGGTTAACAAACTTATTGGAAATTGTTTCCAGGTGCAACTTTGCTTCGTCTCTCCAGCAAGAACAAAATTATTGCGGGAATCTGAATGTAAGTTCATCAGTGATGCAATATTGCGTACACGGACTCAGCACCCGAACGTTTGAGGTGAACATCAAAAAGGGCACGTTTATCTGCACAAAAATGATTGCCAAGGCAGCGAAAGGAATTGAAGTGATAGCTCAAGGACCAGATGGAGCGCCAATGTCGTGCCTTGTGAGTCATCCTTTCGAGTTCGTTAGTTTTCTCAAAAAATTCAAAACAAGGACGATAGCGGTGGTATGCAAAAATGAATCATACTACACATGCAAAATACAGTACCCACACTAATTATTCGACAGAAAACGCAAAAACTGACGATCCGCGTTATTTTCGTTTTTTCTTCATAACTTCCTTCAGATTGCATAAAACATGAATCTGAAGGAAGCATGATGTTCAGCTCGTCAAGACGAATCTTCTGATATACTATATTCTCCTACTATCCCGTTTTCAGTCTGCTCGATTTTTGTGTGAGGACGGGTTTTCGTAGTAGTGTAACTCAGCGAAGAACACACATGGAAGACTCTAGTAAACAAGAATTGGTAGAGCTGTTGCCGTAGATTATCACGCGATAGCGATTGGTGGAGAATCCCTTTTTCATAGAGAAAGATAGGCCGGTGAATTTTGAAAAAAACGATGTCTCTCAAATTTTGGCTACCGTAACCATACAGTAAGACGCCAACTTGCAAAGCAGGTGTGTTTTTCGTGATCAGCAGGCTAGATAACCCCTATGCGCAAGTTCTCCGAGGAATTTGGGCTCTTTGATTTTTTCTCGTTCTAGGCTCTGGAACCTCGCCGACGGGTTTTGGCTGAAATATTGATGATCTTGGGTTGGCCGGAAACTTCTCCCATAGAGGTTTCCAGACTTGCTGATTACAAAAATAGTACTCTTTTTGCAGTGTAATTTCTTTTGGCAGGGTTATGCTGAGAGGAATGCTGCGATACTACGCAAGTTCGTGAATTTGTCTGCCCCTTTCGCGTATCTTTTGGACAACTTACCTGCTCCTCTTTGCAATTTGAAATCACTAGAGAGAGTACTCTCAGAGCATGCTTAAATTAGGCCCTTACCTGTATTGATCGCCAAACTGTGAGCATACGAACTCACGTCCTCATGAAAATCGTTCAAAATTTTAAGATCGTATATTTTGGCCGATATCGCTGGAAATGATTGCAGATGACTTTGATTGCATATATTATGTTTATATACATACGTAAATTGATAATTCTAATTCAGCATACTTGCTTACTCCCTGCGCCGATCACACAACTGTAGCTCAAAGTTGGCAAAAAATCGATAAAGTCGGTAAAGGTAATTGGTCTTGAGAACTAATATCTATCCATAATCAGCCCCTCATTCACCTACTTATACCAATTCTTGGCTCAGTAGCTCAAAGTTGGCAAAAATCGATGAATCGATATCGACCGATGACGAAATGTAGTCTACGAGACCAGCTCGGCCCCTAAGTTGTGTGAAGAGTTTGGTCTGCATTGGTTCAGAGATGCAATTCTGTTGGGAGCATACGCACAGAAACACAGACACTCACTTGAGTTTAGTATGTTAGAGATAACAGTGACAACAACATTTGGAACTCTGAAGTCTGTCAAACTCATCATAAAAATCATAGGCGTCTCCTTGCAACCATTCATCTCCAATCGCCCACGCTTTTATTCCCACTAGGTAGAGTTAAAAGCGTGGGCATTCACTATTTGCAGTTCCAAGGCCGGTCATTCTTGCTATTTTACTTTTGTTCATGGTAGATAAGATGAACAAAAGTAAAATAGCAAGAATGACCGGCCTTGGAACTGCAAATAGTGAATGCCCACGCTTTTAACTCTACCTAGTGGGAATAAAAGCGTGGGCGATTGGAGATGAATGGTTGCAAGGAGACGCCTATGATTTTGATGAGTTTGACAGACTTCAGAGTTCCAAATGTTATTGTCACTGTTATCTCTAACATACTAAACTCAAGTGAGTGTCTGTGTTTCTGTGCGTATGCTCCCAACAGAATTGCATCTCTGAACCAATGCAGACCAAACTCTTCACACAACTTAGGGGCCGAGCTGGTCTCGTAGACTACATTTCGTCATCGGTCGATATCGATTCATCGATTTTTGCCAACTTTGAGCTACTGAGCCAAGAATTGGTATAAGTAGGTGAATGAGGGGCTGATTATGGATAGATATTAGTTCTCAAGACCAATTACCTTTACCGACTTTATCGATTTTTTGCCAACTTTGAGCTACAGTTGTGTGATCGGCGCAGGGAGTAAGCAAGTATGCTGAATTAGAATTATCAATTTACGTATGTATATAAACATAATATATGCAATCAAAGTCATCTGCAATCATTTCCAGCGATATCGGCCAAAATATACGATCTTAAAATTTTGAACGATTTTCATGAGGACGTGAGTTCGTATGCTCACAGTTTGGCGATCAATACAGGTAAGGGCCTAATTTAAGCATGCTCTGAGAGTACTCTCTCTAGTGATTTCAAATTGCAAAGAGGAGCAGGTAAGTTGTCCAAAAGACACGCGAAAGGGGCAGACAAATTCACGAACTTGCGTAGTATCGCAGCATTCCTCTCAGCATAACCCTGCCAAAAGAAATTACACTGCAAAAAGAGTACTATTTTTGTAATCAGCAAGTCTGGAAACCTCTATGGGAGAAGTTTCCGGCCAACCCAAGATCATCAATATTTCAGCCAAAACCCGTCGGCGAGGTTCCAGAGCCTAGAACGAGAAAAAATCAAAGAGCCCAAATTCCTCGGAGAACTTGCGCATAGGGGTTATCTAGCCTGCTGATCACGAAAAACACACCTGCTTTGCAAGTTGGCGTCTTACTGTATGGTTACGGTAGCCAAAATTTGAGAGACATCGTTTTTTTCAAAATTCACCGGCCTATCTTTCTCTATGAAAAAGGGATTCTCCACCAATCGCTATCGCGTGATAATCTACGGCAACAGCTCTACCAATTCTTGTTTACTAGAGTCTTCCATGTGTGTTCTTCGCTGAGTTACACTACTACGAAAACCCGTCCTCACACAAAAATCGAGCAGACTGAAAACGGGATAGTAGGAGAATATAGTATATCAGAAGATTCGTCTTGACGAGCTGAACATCATGCTTCCTTCAGATTCATGTTTTATGCAATCTGAAGGAAGTTATGAAGAAAAAACGAAAATAACGCGGATCGTCAGTTTTTGCGTTTTCTGTCGAATAATTAGTGTGGGTACTGTATGATATTGCTCTAAGATTTATTAGGCTGTTGCAGAAATAATGTCGGTTTTGCAAATTTTACTTCGCGCGAATGCTAACTGATACGCGAACGGGAAGAAAACTATGCTGCAAAAAACTGAAATTTTTTTGAAACCTCGTTTTTGAGAGATTACAACTCCCTTCAAGTTTTGTTCCTATGGCTGCCCATCAGCTTATTTTGTAGATGCAAGGCAGTAGTAAACCGTTGTATAGAAAAGACGTCAACGAAGGAGTTTTGCGAAAAGAAATAAAAAATCCAAAATTGTTCACACTTTTGAGGCTATTTGTGGTATATCAGAAAGTCTCAAGCTATGAAAGTTTGAAGTTTTTTACGCACTGAATAGCTAAATTTTTCTGCAAAAGTTGCAGGCAAGATATACTGACCTCAAGCATACGGAAATGAGCAGACCTTCGGTGATTGCCTAAGTCACAAAGATTTTCACTTACAGAATGCCAGGCAGCGAGTATCCATTTTGAGGCATCGATTTCCCAGTCCAGATGTATCTAAAATCTCACGTACAGCTGATTGAGACAAACTGAGATTTTTGAACATTTTCCTATTGCTCGAGACACCCTTGCGCTCTGTTAACCACAAAACCTTTGATTCAACTGGCTTGGCACCATTAGGGCGGAGGTTTGGTGATCTAATTGAGGCCGCTCGCCCCCGCGACGCACCTGCGTCTCTCTCGCGTGAGTGCTCTCTGATCATTACCTAGCCTTAATTAGGTAACGAAGCCCCGCCTTTGCCGATGCCAAGCCAGTTGAATCAAATGGTACCTTCGATAGTCTTACCTAATGAATTATCCGTTGATTGTCTGAGTCCATCCACTTTTTAAAGGCGGCTATTCAATAGGATAGAAAAAGATATGGTAAACTAGTACGTTTAAAATTGTTAAAAGTCGGTGAGTACCCTGCAAGAAATTCAATCCTCATTCGCCGGTGTTCGACTCAACCGACTTGAGATCGCCGTCTCGATAGTCGGGGGACAGCGAGAAGGGGAGATGCTGTTTTTGAGATTTTCTCACAATCAATCGTGAAAGAAATGCTGTTGGAAGTGCTGAAAACGGGAAGTACCTCTCTTCTGAGGGAGAAGTGCATGTCAAAGGCAGTCTTATTTCTTTTCGCACATTGCCATTTCTGGTCCGGCGGTCCGCTTTATTCTGCTCATCACTTGAAGAAGTGGAAGCAAGCTAGAGTGCAGAAGTGGTTGCAAAGATGCTGCTGAAAAGATTCATAAAGAAAACGCATTTTGCACCTTTTTAACAAGTATCTTACGATAGAAGAAGTAAGCTTGACGATCTGCCTATATTGAACAAAAGTAATGTTTACGAATATACAAAAACACCTCAAAACAAATGATAAGGAGGGGTAAAGTGATGATTTCAAAAGAAATTTGTCAGACTCCTCGGATGAAAATCTGGGCTTGGCAAGTTTCAAAATAAGGTTTAATTTAAGAGCTCTCTAATGATATAAGATCTGTTAGAATCTGACCATGGAGTAATTGGTATTGTTGTGATTGTAAATGATCAGTTATTCCTCATAGTGATCTGCCTTTTGTAGTCGATCGCTTAAAATGCGCGGAAAATGGGCGCTATAAAAGGCGCTCACTTTCGCCTCAGTCAGTTCTACTGTTCATTGTTCACTCACTCGCCTCTCTTATTTTTACTGTTTTATTATTCTTTAATAAATATTCCTGTCTGCTCCTTTGCCGACAAGCCAAGGTTCGAAGAGTGTCCGAAGTTGGAGGACACAAAAGCGGCGTTCAGGAGCGGCGGCTACTTTCAAAGAAGTAGCCGGATCGACCAGAAAGCACCCCTGGAAAGCAAATCGGAAGTAGGCTGCTGAAAGCAACTGAAGTGCAGCGGACAGTCGTCATTTTGATCGATCAGCATGACGAAGATAGGGTCAGAGGTATTGCAG